CCTCCTGTTGATGCAGGAAGGCCCACCTGGACCTCTTCTCCCCGTTTTTCCCCCGTCCCTCCCCTCCTCAACCACCTTCTGAATTGCGTCAAAGATGGGCAGGCATGAACACGTCTGTGTCGTATTTGCTCGGCTTGCCCTCTCTCAAACTCCTCCTCTTACCTTACCCAGCCCCGCTCAACCCCCCTCCACCCCCTCACACCTTCTGGATCGCCTCGAAGATGGGCATGAAGACGTCAGTGTCGTAGTTGCTCAGCTTGCCCTGCAGGATGGACGTCAGACGCTCAAAGCCCATCCCGGTGTCCACGTGCTTCGCCGGCAGCGTCTTCAGCGTGCCGTCTGCCTCACGGTTGAACTGTGAGATGGGGTGTCGATCGGGTGGAGGAGAGAGGTAAGGTGGGGTGGGGTGGGGTGGGATGAGGTATTGGAAGGGCATGTGCTTCAAGGAACAGCAAGGGCGTGAGGCGCTCAAAGCCCATCCCCGTGTCCACGTGCTTCGCCGGCAGCGTCTTGAGCGTGCCGTCTGCCTCCCTGTTGAACTGTGGTATGAGATGCGGTAGGGTGGGGTGGGGTGGGTGGGGTGGGTGGGGTGGGGTGGGGTGGGTGGGGTGGGGTGGGGTGGGGTGGGGTGGAATGAGGTATTGAAGACAGGTGGGTGGGGCACGTGCTCCAAGTCAAGCCACAACAAGCATGTCAGGCACTCAAAGTCCATCCACGTGTTCCATCCACGTGTTCCATCCACGTGTTCCATCCACGTGTTCCATCCACGTGCTTGGCAGGCAGGCAGCGTCTTGAGATCTCAATGCATGTGGCCCCGTCCCTTCAAACACGTCCTCACATACTCGATAAGAAGACGCTCGTTTTAAGCACCCCCTCATCACCTGGATGAACACGTTGTTCCAGATCTCAATGCACGTGGGGTCGTCACTCAAACACGTCTCCACATACCCGTTCAAAAGGCACTCGCTTAAAGCACGCGTCGATGCTCTCACCTGGATGAACACGTTGTTCCAGATCTCAATGCACGTGGGGTCATCAGCGTTCACCAGAGCAGCAGCATCGCGCCCGCCCAGGCGGTCAAAGTGGATCTCCGTGCACGGCCCACACGGCCCTGTGTCACCCATCTCCCAGAAGTTATCCTGCACGCACAAGCATGGGTGCAAATACACATGAGAAAAGGCATCCTTCAGAGCTGGTATTCCAGTGCAGATAAAACTGAGTGGGAGCACAGGCACAGGGGTTACATGACCACACGGGCATGTGTGGGCCATCCAAGAATGAAGTCATGCAGTGAACCAGGGACTTCCATAACGAGGACGAGACAAACCTTGCAGCCGTACGGCAGCACACGGCTGGCTGGGAGCACGGTGAGCCAGATGTCCCGAGCCTCCAGGTCCGGTTCCAAGCCTAGCTTCTCGTCCCCGCCAAAGTAGGTGGCATAAAGCCGATCCTCTGGCAGCTTGTACACCTGATGCACGGAAACAGGGGGTAAGACACACAGGGGGGCGGGTTGAGGTGGGGGGAAGGAGGGCGGGTGGAAGGTGGGTGGAGGTGGAATATGCCGATCCCCTGGAAGCTTGCACACCTCTTGCAGGGAAAAAGGAGGTAAAACACGCAATCTGAAGTGTAAGAAAAGAGAGAGATTGTACCAGCTACCAGACCTAACTGTGTTACCAGCTCCCAGACCTAACTGTGTTACCAGCTCCCAGACCTAACTGTGTTACCAGCTCCCAGACCTAACTGTGTTACCAGCTCCCAGACCTAACTGTGTTGCCAGCTCCCAGACCTACCTGCGTGAGGAGCTCCCAGGCCCACGTGATGGCCTCCTGCTTGAAGTAGTCCCCGAAGGACCAGTTGCCGAGCATCTCAAAGAAGGTGTGGTGGTACGTGTCCTTGCCCACGTCGTCCAGGTCGTTGTGCTTGCCGCCCGCGCGGATGCACTTCTGAGAATTCACGGCACGCTTCAGGGAGGCGAGGGGGCTGCGAGGGTCCACCGTTCCCAGAAAGATGGGCTTGAACTGGTTCATGCCTGGCGGGCGGAGAGGGGGAGAGGGGAGGGGGGAAGGAGGGGGGGGGGGGGGGGGGGGGGGGGGAGGGGGGGGTTGAGTGGTCGTTGTGCTTGCCGCCTGCGCGGATGCACTTCTGCGAGTTCACGGCGCGCTTGAGGGACGCCAGGGGGCTGCGCGGGTCCTCTGATCCCAGGAAAATGGGCTTGAACTGGTTCATGCCTGGCAGGGGGAGGGTGGGAACGGGAAGGGAACAGATGGGGCGAGGGGGAGGTGGGGTAACGGACGAGATCAAAGAAATGAGCGACAATAAGACACGAGGTATTGAGATCAATTGAGTTTTAACCAGCGCGGACGTTGTGATTGGAACAAGTGTGCATCAACTCGAGCGGAACCCGAAGGCCAAACGAAGTGATTCTGACGACGTTTCCGCACGACACGGCGGATAACGATGCGGCACGCATCCCGACATGCCAGGCGCGCACACAGCCGCCGACTTGGTCAACCTGACGTTCAAAGTTGTTCGTTGTCTTATCAGTCGACTCAAGTCACGTTGCCAAACGCCACGAGTACACAGCCGTCGATCTGGTGAATCGGACCATCGCGAGAAGCGTGACACGTGTACGGGTACGATTGCATAATAAGTGTACGGGGTTTGAGTCGCCTCAAGAATCTGACCATGTTGAACATGAGAGACCCATGTGAGTGTACGATCTTTGAACATTTGGGATCCCACAGTCGGTGCATGGCATCCCCTGGGCGCATCTAACGCTGAGAAACCCGCTCTTGTTCTTCCACACCGCAGTACGCCTATATCGAGATCGCTAGCAATCTCTATAACGAGGACACGAGACTGACGCTGGCAGCGCAGCGTAGAGCCAGATCCAGGTGACTTTGTGAAATTGATTCCAATGATAGCGAGGGACGCTCCTGTATCGCGAGCGCACTAACTGACGATTCTCTATAACGAAGGCAACGACTTGCGAAGGGGGTGGTCCGGCAGGCACTGATCGTCGCTCCTGTATGAAGAGAAAACTAACTGTCGTTGCTGCAGCTTAAGCGCACTGACCGGCGTTGGCGAAGAGCAGCGTGGGGTCGTCCAGCGGCACGACCAGGCTGGACGGCACGTGCGTGTGCTCGCGATCCTTGAAGAACTGCAGGAACGTGTCGCGCACGCGCGTCGCCGGCCATTCCAGCTCCGTTCCTGCTCACGAATCGCACATACAACAGGAGATTAATCTCAGGCCTCTAGGGTATTACTACAGATTTAAAAAACAAATAGTAGGCTCGTTACACTATCTACCTGATGCTGATCCGCCCGACATTGCGGCTCGGAGTGGCAGAATAGGTATGCACGCAGATCGGAGGAGCAGCTAACTCAGGAAGCTGAACGCGTGTGGAGTAAGCTAGACCCGCTTTGTGACTTGGGAGTGGCTAAACAAGGGAGCACGTGGCCAGATCTTCTGGCGGCGATTATCTCCAGGGTGCTGGCTGAAGGAGCAAAGGTCAAGGGGTATAGAGTGTATTTGCGACTTTATCTCAGTTTCATAACTACCTCGGTTTTCCTCCACAAAGGTGCTTCGATAGTGTTCGAAGAAGGGGGTCGTGGCTGGTGTTTGGATGGTGTTTCTACTTTCGCTTATTGCGACGGTTACCAAATGGCAGACCTCGCATTGATGTCAACGGCTAGGGCCTAGTGGATGTTCGTTCCAATCAAGTTTTCCGAGCTTCCAACTGAGACGACTTCGCAAGTTCGCACTTTCTCCCAACGAAACTGCCCCAATTTCAGGTCCTCAAAACTGCTTCCTCTCTCGCACTCCACCTAAGTATGACACGGGCGCCGAAACAATCCCCAGTTCGGCCTTGTGGCTGTGAACCGCATATCGGAAGTACGGGTCACTGGTGACTAGCTATGAAACGCACGGTTGATTCGAGGAAAACTTTCACATGCGTGTGATTGGTTGGTGTAGGACGGTCAGGTCGGTGATACTGTATATGTTGTTCACTCAATCGCATTCACCTACACAGTGACCTGTTTTGGTCGTCAACTGCTATCCAATGACGAAGATTTTCTCGCCGTCAACTTGCTTATCTTGGGCTGCCAGGCTCCCTGGTGGTAACCTCCCTCCACAGTCAAGCTCATCGGTGCTTTGGATTCTGCCGAGCCTTCTGCCTTGGTTTGGGGTTATTCGGCCCGGACAAACCAACACCTATGGCAGGCAGATGAAGTTGGTTGGCCAAGCCAAGAGCGAAGCGGGATCATCTCAAGACAACTACAGTCGGTGCCCATTTCAAGAACTCCCGGTAGGCGGGCGGCATGTGCGTGAAACGAGTTTTGGCCATTTCGCCACGTTCGCCCTTGTCGCCACGGGCAAAAATGTGACAGTAACATGAAATTGCAACGTGAATCGAGTCAAGGGCTTTAATTTTGTAACCAGGTTAACTTCTCTGATGACGGGCAACCGTTGTTGTTTATGTACTGTAGATGTTTTTCTTCCTCAACTTGGTGACTGTACCCCGAAATCGGCACAATGGTCAATTTAGTCACTCACGGGCAAAACGTTCGCGAGTGACTAAATTTCTAATTGTGAGGAGCAAATGTTTTGTGATAGGCTGAGCATCGACTGTACCTCGAGTTGCGTTTATAGAACCTAGAGGTTGCCTGGATTATCCTCAGGCTGCCTTATCTCCCCCAAACTCCTCACCGTTGCTCAAGGTGGGCCGCGGTTGACGTGGATAAGACATGAACCTTCCTCGTCACACCTGCTTTTTTAAATGAGAATTGTGACGGTATGATGCGGTCGATGCAGTCCTATGTCCCATACGGGACTGATAGCAAGCAAGTGTAACTGACTGATGATCGTGCAGACTTCCTTCATCACTAAGTTCCCGCAAGACATGGCCTTAAGTATCCATTCTGGGCCCAACTTTAGACAAAATTCAAACCATTAAGGGACGCGGTATTGGAGCGAAATGCAGCCGCAGCCGCAGCAGATGCAGGCGGGACCGCAGCGGATGCAGCATTCCCAGCCGAACAAGCAGCCTGTTTTCATGCAAAGACAACCCCCGTCGCCTCAACGGCAACAGCAGCAGCAGCCGGAGAGTCCTCAACCTGCATCCGTGCGGCAGCGGTCGCAGAATGGTCCCAATCAGGAGGTCATGACTTCAGGCCGACCTCTGGTTGGCGGTAGAGGCGGTCGAAATCAGCCTCCTGGGTACGCGTACGATCAGCTCAGTCGGTACTGCGTTGTTAATTTTTTAGTTGAACAAAGAAAATGCCGGAATTAGTCACCTGGGTCGGTAATGGCGTTATGAGCTGAGACGGAAATGGGTAGTTACGCGCGTTGATTAAACTCATTCTAGTCGGCACGCGTATGACGAGCTATGTCGGCACTAAAGAGTACAGATACGATGAGCAAAGTCGGTGCTGCATACGCGTGTAATCTGTATCGGCACGCGTATGAGCTGTATTCGGTTCTTTGTCGTGTAGAGACACTCGCCGAAACACGCGGGAAGGGTCAAGAAGCAGCCGTGTTTTTTTTTTTTCCCGTTCAGCTTCCCTCCGTTCTCTCCGCCTTCCGCTTCCGCCCTCTCCTCTTGCTGACTTTCCCCTTTTCTCCCCCCTTCCTCCATTCTCCTCCCCCTCCTTTCTTCGCGCACCTTTCCCCCCAACCGCTTGTTTTGAGGCGCATCGGGCACATCGTCCCCCGTGTCAATTCTCGCCTTCCCGCCTCCGCTCAATTGCCGCTATTCCCTATCCCCCCCTCTCCCGTGTCGATTCTCTCCTTCCCGCCTCTGCTCAATTGCCCCTATTCCCTTAAACCCGCACTTCCCCCAGCAGCGCAGAGCCAGGCGCAAGCGGCCCCCCGCTCAACAAGATGCGGAGAACCCACAGCGAGAAGCAGAGCAGCGCGGGGATCGCACGGGCGGGGGGAAGCGGAAGCAGCTCGGGTAGCGCGGCGGAAGAAGCCCCGCCTTGGGCGCGGGGAGTGCCCAGCGGACCCGCGGGTGGCGCAGGCGGAACATGGGGAAGCGCGGGGGGAGCGATGGGTGGAGTGGGCAGTCCTGGGCGCGCCGGCGGTGCGCCCCCGCTTGTGTCAAGTCCGCATTACATGCAGCAACCGCCGCCGCTGCACCCGCGGTCTGTATCAGACGAGGACAGGGACAGGATTTCCGCCATGAACCCCCCTGCGGGCGCAGCTGCTGCGCGTATGGCGGCCGCGAGTAGGCTGGCGCAGGCTCAAGCGCAGGCGCAGGCGCAGCGGGGGAACGCGGAGCGGGAGGATGGATCCGCGTCTGATGGGGGGGGGACCGGGCGGGGGGTAACTAGCGCGGGATACCGACCCATGCCGCAGTTTCAGCATCAGAACAGGGGCATGTTCAAGGCGGAACGGAGGCGGAGCTTGGATCTTTGCACGGAGAAGGTGGGCTCGCCAGTTAGGGGGGGAATGCAGCGGATTGGGTCGGGGGAGGCGCTTGTTCCGGTGCAAAGGGCAGGGCCGCGGTTGCAGTCAGAAGGTGGGGGGATGGGAGCGGTGGAGGGCACGTGGGAAGCTGGTAGTGGCCAGCAGAATCAGGCCCATCAGGCCGTGCAGTTGCAAGGGCAGCAGCAACAGCAGCGCCTGCAGACGCAGCAGCAGCAGGGTCAGAAGCAGCAGCAGCAGCAACAGAGCATGCGGAGCAGCGCTGCTGGTTCAGGTGCTGGAGGTGCTGGTCCGGGTAGTGCTGGTTCGGGTAGTGTTGGTTCGGGTAGTGCTGGTTCAGGTGCTGTTGCCGCAGGCGCTGCTGGTACTGGTGGTAGCGCAGGGGGAGGGGGAGCGGGAGGGGGATTGGGAGGCAGAGGAGGGAGGGGCGGTCGAGGTGGGAGGGGTGAGGTTGTAGGGAGGGGGATGGGGATGGGGGGAAGAGGGGGAAGAGCGGGACCAGGCTCACGTGTACGAGAAGGTGAAAGGGATGGCGTTGTTGCTGGTGCTGGTACGGGTGCTGGTGGTGGTGCTAGCGCTGGTACTAGTGCTGGCGCTAGTGCTAGTGACAGAGGAGGGGCAGGGCAACAGCAGCAGGGTCCGCAGCAGCAGCAACAGCAGCAGCAGCAGCAGCAGCAGCAGCAGCAGCAGCAGCAGCAGCAGCAGCAGCAGGGTCAGCGCATGAGAAGGCTGTCAGCGTCGTCTGTTGGCTCAGCTGCCAGTGATGCTAGCGGAGCCTCTGGCGCTAGGGGCGCAGCAGTTGTAGCGGGATCAGTAACAGGAGTTGTAGCAGGAGCGGGGGAAGGGAGTGCAGGGGCGGATGGCGGAGAGGGAGGAGGCAGAAGTGGGGGAGGAGGGGGCGGAAGTGGGAGGGAAATCACTGGAGGGGAAGGGGCAGCAGGGAACAAGCCACTCGTTGCTGCGACTGCTTCACACATAGAATCAGAGCCTGCTGGAAATATTACCGTGACCGTCTTACGTTCCTCAGGTGCTCCAGGTGCCTCAGCAGGTGCTTCTGGTGCTGCTGCAGCTCGGCTAGACATAGACCTGTACAGCCCCCTCCCTGGCGGCAGTTTCAGCAGCTCCGGCGTTACCGCTCTTGCCGCAACTGATGCTCTTAACGGGACTGACAGAAACGAGTCAGCTACTAACGGGGATGGCGAGCTAGACGCCACAGGAGCTGAAAGCGCGCCAAGATCGAAATCCCCCCAAAAAGGCAAGAAAGGGGCGAAGGGAGAAGGGAAGGTGCAGGGGAAAGGGAGGAGAGACGGAGGGGAGGGTTCAAGCGGAGGATCAGCAGATGCTAATGATTCGAGTGCAGGGGAGGGGGGCCGAGGAGGGGGCAGGGGTGGACAGGGAGGGAAGAGTGGAGGGAAGAAGAAGAGCGGAAGGACCAAGTCAGGGTCTGTGACAGGGATGGTGACCCACAGGCGGGCAGCGTCTTCACAGGGCCAGGGGAATGGCGCCGCTGAGAAGGTCTCAGCGTCAGAGGCGGGTGGGGGTGGCAGCAATGGGGGGGATCGTATAATTTCTGTGCCTGGCGGCACTAGGGACGCTTCTGGTGCAGCTGATGCCTCTGATGCTGCGCCAGGTGGTGACGACGCCCTTGCTCTCTACAGGTACGTCTTATCCCCATCGTCTCTACTGCTGCTGCTGCTGCTTTCCCTCTCCCCTCTCATCTACCTCCCCATTTCCATCCTCCTACCCCTCTCTCCCCCGTCTCCCCAGGGCCGGATCCCCGTCCATAGGCCAGCTGCAGCTGCTGGTGTCCCCAGCTGTCTTCTCACGAGTCATCAGCTGCAACGCTGCTGCTGCTGCTGTTTTGAGATGCCCCAGTGAAGACATGCTGTGGGGCAACTCGCTCTGTGAATCCCTCTGCCCAGACCACGTGCCTAGATTCGAAGTGAGTAAATACGTGCCTTATTTCGCCCCTATCCCACGGGTGTATGCAACCCAGTGAGGACATCCTGTGGGGCAGCTCCCTCTGCGAGTCCCTCTGCCCAAATCACGCGCCAAAGTTGAGGTCCCTATGCCCCAAGTCCCCTGAGTGTATGCGTCCCAGTGAAGACATGCTGTGGGGCAGCTCCCTCTGCGACTCCCTCTGCTTGCACCACCGTTTCCCCCCACCTGCACTCTGCCGCGCCACCCTGCTCACTCCTCCCCCCTCTCCCCACCCCCCTTCGCCTTCTCTCCTTCCCCTTCCCCGCTTCCCCCTTCTACCTCCCCTCTCCCTCTTCCCCCTCCTCCTCAACCCAGGCATGGCTGCTTCTGGTGGCGCATATGGTTCACTCAGCAGCACTCCCCGCCCACCTGCACTATCACACCTCAGCCTCCGTTACTCCTTCCCCGTCACCTCGCCTTTCTTTCCCTTCCCCCGTTCCCCTTTCTCCCTCCCCCCGTCCCCTTTCCCGTTTCCACTCACCCCAGGCGTGGCTGCTGCTGGTGGCGCAGATGGCGCACTCAGCAGCGCTGGCTCCCCACCTGCACCAGAAGCCACCTCCCCTCACTCACTCCTTTCACAATCCCCTTGCCTTCCCTCCTCCAACCCCTTACCTCACCCCAGGCGTGGCTGCTGCTGGTGGCACAGATGGTGCATTCAGCAGCGCTGCCCCCACACCTGCACCAGAAGCCACCTCCCCCGCTACAGCTCACCCTCGCCAGCCACGCCGGTGCTGCCGTCTCTGTTCAGCTCGTGGCCGTCCCACCCCTCACCCTCTCCCAATCCACCCCATCATCTTCCTCTGCTGCTGCTGCCGCCGCCGCCGCCGTTGCTGCTGCTGCTGCTGCTGTGGCTGCGGGTGGCAGTGCTGCATTAGCTGTGGCACCGCCTGAGCCTGGTGGTGACAGTGTCACTCTGCTCGTCCGCGACTGCCCCTCCTTACCTGCACCTTCTACTACCTCTGCTGCTGCTGGGAATCCAACCGTTGGTGGTACTGCATCTCTTGCTGCTGGTGCTTCTGCCGACACTGCGGTTGCAGTGCAAAAGGGAGGAAGAAGAGCAAGTGGAGGGGGGAGCAGCGGGGCAGTGGGTCTCGCAAATCTTTACGCTGCTGCTGCTGCCACTGCCGGTGCAGCAGGCAGCGGCAAAATCCACCCCAATTTAACCGACCTATACACCCTTTCCGGACCTCCTACTAATGCTCCTGCAGCAGCAGGCCCCCCCCTTCCCCCTGGCGCTGCTGTGTCTCTGACACAGCTAGGGGAGGAGGATTTACAGGTGCTGAAGGCCCTTGTGAGGAAGGAGGTGGAGGAACAGGTGGGGCGGGAGGCAAGGCAGCGGGCAGCGGAAGAGCTTCAGGAGGAGCTAAAGACAAAGCATGCCGCCCTCATGGCTTCGCTGACAAGGGAGATTGCGATGCCCCTGAATGGTAGGTTAGGCATGGTGACGAAATGGGTGGCAGGGGAGAGGAAAATGGTGGGAAGAGAAGACGGGAATGGAAAGATACGAATGTCATTTTGTTGAAGTGCCTAAACCCTGTTCGCCCACAACTCCCACTTGCTCCATACTCCCCTTGCTCCCTTCTCCCCCTGCTCCCTTTCCCCCCTTGCCCCTTTCCCCTTGCCCCTTTCACTCCCTTGCCCCTTTCTCCCCTTTCTCCCCCTTGCACCCAAACCTCCTCCTGCCCCCTTTCCGCCCCCCCTTCCCCCTCCGCCCCCCCCACACCTCTCGTTCCCCCTTTCAGCCATGGCAAGTGTGGCAGACTTTCTTCTCAACTCCCGTGCGCTAACACCTGACCAAAGGTCCCTCGTCCAGCTCCTCCTCTCCTCTGCTGAAAGCCTCTCCCAAACCCTCGCCCGCCTCCTCAAATCCCCCGAGGCTGACCCCGAGGCTGTTCCCGAGTCTGACGACGAGGATGACGAGCCTCCGAGGCTGGAGCTTCGGGAAACGGACCTGCACCGAGAGGTACGGCTTGGAAAGGAGGAGAAATGGGGTGAAGAACGGGTTAGAGGGAAGTGTGGGCGGGGGAGAGAGTGTGAGACAGTGCAGAGGGGAAAGGTTGGGCGGAGGGGAGAGTGAGAGAGCGTGAGAAGAGGGTAGGAAGGGGGCGGAGGGCAGGTGGGGTCATGGGATTAGTCTGTTTTTGGAGTCGACCCAAAACAGACTCATCACACGTGGAAGGGGGCGGAGGGCAGGTGGGATCAATCAAGGGATGAGTAGATAGGTGAGAGATGGCGTGGAAGGGTAGAGGAGAGGGGGGGTGACACAGGGGTAACACTCCTTTCCAAATTCTGTTGTTCCTTTTAACCCCCTTCCCCGTTTCTCCTGGCTCCTCGCAGGTGCGCGAGTGCGTGAGGCTGATGGACGTGCACGCAAAGGAGAAGGGCCTCGCCCTGCTGTGTGGCATCGACTCACATCACATGCTCCTTCATTCTTCACTGCTTTCCCCCGTATTTTGCCCTCCTTCACCACTCGCCCTCAGGTCAGGGAGTGCGTGAGGCTGATGGACGTGCATGCCAAGGAGAAGGGCCTCGCCCTGCTGTGCGGCATCGACACCCATTCTTATTCCTTCCTCTGTGCCCCCCCTTTACGTGGCCTCCTTTACTCCTCCCATCAGGTGCGCGAGTGCGTGAGGCTGATGGACGTGCATGCCAAGGAAAAGGGCCTGGCGCTGCTGTGCGGCATCGACTCCGCCGTGCCGCAGTTCATCCTCTCTGACGGCCCTGCCATCCGCCAAGTGCTGCACAACCTCATCTTCAACGCCGTGCAGCACACCGACAGGTAAATGATAGGTGCTGCTGCTTGTGCTGCTCATGACTGGTGAGGTTCCTCTATAAGCTGTGCAGCGCAGTTCATCCTCTCTGACGGCCCTGCCATCCGCCAAGTGCTGCACAACCTCGTCTTCAACGCCGTACAGCACACCGATAGGTGGGTGGGTAATTGTGGTGCTGCTTGCAGTGCTCCTGGTACTGACTGACAGCTCATGACTGGTGAGGTGCCTCAATAGGTGGTGCAGTTCATCCTCTCTGACGGCCCCGCCATCCGCCAAGTGCTCCACAACCTCATCTTCAACGCCGTACAGCACACTGACAGGTGGGTGGTTGGTGCTGCTGGTTGTACTGCAGTTTGTGGCATTACTCCTGGTGGTTCTCATGCTACTGGCCGCTCATGACTGGTAAGGCGGCTCAAATAGGCAGCTCATTTAGTTCATCCGCCTCTCTGAGGCGTCTAAGCTCATAGTTAGAAGGGCAGCAGTACTAGAAAGAATCGCTTAAGCAGCAAGAACAACAGTGAAAAAACGTGAGAAAAAAATATATATATATGGAAAAAGGTAGATTCCGCCTAAGGCGGCTCAAATAGGCAGCTCATTCAGTTCATACGCCTCTCTGAGGCGTGGGGGTGGGCAGCACTGGGCACTGCTGCGGTAGCCACCTTCGTGGAGAGACACACTGCTTTGCGCCTCTCCGTCATCTCTCCAGGTCCAGGACTGCTGTAGCCACCCTCCTGGAGAGACACACTGCTTTGCGCCTCTCCGTCATCTCTCCAGGACTGCTGTAGCCACCCTCCTGGAGAGACACACTGACGTGATAAAGTAACATTTTGAGACGTCTCAAAATGTTACTTTTATCATGCGGTAGCCACCTTCGTGGAGAGACACACTGCTTTGCGCCTCTCCGTCGTCTCTCTCCAGGTCCAGGACTGCTGTAGCCACCCTCCTGGAGAGACACACTGACGCAACCTCACCTCTCCGTCATCATCCCTGCCCTAATGGCCCCCCTTCCCATCATCCCTGCCCTAATGGCCCCCCTTCCCATCATCCCTGCCCTAATGGCCCCCCTTCCCATCATCCCTGCCCTAATGGCCCCCCTTCCCATCATCCCTGCCCTAATGGCCCCCCTTCCCATCATCCCTGCCCTAATGGCCCCCCTTCCCATCATCCCTGCCCTAATGGCCCCCCTTCCCATCATCCCTGCCCTAATGGCCCCCCTTCCCATCATCCCTGCCCTAATGGCCCCCCTTCCCATCATCCCTGCCCTAATGGCCCCCCTTCCCATCATCCCTGCCCTAATGGCCCCCCTTCCCATCATCCCTGCCCTAATGGCCCCCCTTCCCATCATCCCTGCCCTAATGGCCCCCCTTCCCATCATCCCTCAGGGGCGATGTGACAGTGTCAGTGCGCCTGGCGTCAGACAAGGAAGCAGAGGAGCATCATGTGAAGCAGCGCCGCAAGGACAGCGCTTCCCTCTAAAACTCCTCCTCCCTCCCCCCCCCCTCGTGTTTTCACTGCTCTGCCCGGATGCTTTCTTTCTTCCCTCAGGGGCGATGCGACAGTGTCAGTGCGCCTGGCGTCAGACAAGGAGGCAGAGGAGCACCGCGTGAAGCAACGCCGCAAGGACAGCGCCGCTGTAGCCACCTTCCTGGAGAGGACAGGCACCACTTACCTACTCTCACGTCCACCCCTCTCCCTCCTGACCTCCCTCCTCTCTGTTATCGCCTCTCAAATACCCACTTCTTTCCCAGGGGTGACGTCACAGTATCAGTGCGCTTGGCGTCAGACAAGGAAGCAGAGGAGCACCGCGTGAAGCAGCGCCGCAAAGACAGCGCCGCTGTAGCCACCTTCCTGGAGAGACGCAGCAGCAGCACTCGCAGGGGAGGCGTGGGGATGGGCGGGGGGGGGGGAGGAGCGGGGGAGGATGGGGCGGGGCAGGGCGAGGCAGGGTCGGTGTTGCTGCGGTTTGAAGTGCGGGACACGGGCAACGGGATCAACGCAGAGCTGCTGGCTGCCCTTGTGCAAGAGCTGGAAAAGGTAGGACTGGGGGAGGTTGGTTCTGAAAGGGCCCTCTTTTGAGCTTAATTGGGTCGGTGCTGCTGCGGTTTGAGGTGCGGGACACGGGCATTGGGATCAACGCAGAGCTGCTGGCTGCTCTCGTCCAAGAGCTGGAAAAGGTGGGTCTGGTGGAAGTGAGTTCTGGAGAAGGCTCCTTCTGAGCTTAAGCAGGTAGGTGCGGGACATGGGCAATGGGATCAACGCGGAACTTCTAGCTGCCCTTGTGCAAGAGCTGGAAAAGGTAGGTCTGGGGTGGGCCAGCACGTGCAAGGGAGTAAGGGGAGTGGGAAAGGACAGGGCAAGAGGGCGAGGCAGGGTCGGTGCTGCTGCGGTTTGAAGTGCGGGACACGGGCAATGGGATCAACGCAGAGCTGCTGGCTGCTCTCGTCCAAGAGCTGGAGAAGGTAAGTCTGGGGGTGGTTAGTTCTGGAGAAGGATCATTCTGAGCTTAAGCAGGCTGGTGCGGGACACGGGCATTGGGATCAACGCAGAGCTACTGGCTGCTCTCATGCAAGAGCTGGAGAAGGTGGGTGGGGGGGTTGGTGTGGGGAACGCGGACAACGCTGCCGCCGGTGCTGCTAATGCTGCTGGTGCTGTTGCTTTTGTTGCATATTTTCCGCCTTTATCCATTCTCACTGCTTCCCATTTTCCCAATGCCTCTGTTCTGACTCCCCCTCTCCCGCCCCATCCCTCCTCCTCAATCTTCCCCCCTTTTCTCCCCCTTCCAGAGCAAGCCATCCCCCTCGTCCCTGGCGTCCTTCCTCCTGGGTCGTCCCTCCTTTTCCCGATGCCCCTCTTCCCGCTCCCCCCTCTCCCTCCCACTCCCCCCTCTCCCTCCCCACCATCCTTTCCCCCCCATCTCCTCCAGAGCAAGCCATCCCCATCCTCCCTCGCGTCCTTCCTCCTAGGTCGCCCCTTCGCCACCACCGGACTCGGCACAGTCCACGCCCTCATCTCCCACGCCCTCATCCCCGCCCCCGGCACCGCCGCCGCCGCTGCCCTCGCCGCCATCGCTCCATCAATCGCAGGAGGAGGAGCAGCCGGGGGAGGGGGAGGCGGGGCAGGAGCCGGCGGGGGAGCAGGAGCGGGGCTGGGGACTTTCAGCAGGTCGAGTAGTTATTCGAGTGCGGCGGGGGTGGGGGTGGTCGGCGGGTGGGGGGCAGGAGCAGTGCAGTTGCAGAGTGAGGTGGGGAGGGGCACGTCTGTGGTGTGTTTCCTGCCGGTGCCGCTCGCCTCGTGCCAGGACATCACTCCTGAGGACCTGAATCCACACCAGCCGTTGGACATGGACGTGTGGACAGAGCTTCCCAACGCGCGGATTCTCATAGTCGATGTGAGTGTGTGCGACTGAGCATGTGAGTGAGTCTGTCTAGTTTGGGTTTGGCCTTCCTTTGGGCTTGTCTGCTTCCTCCTACCAGTGCCGCTAGCATCGTGCCAGGATATCACTCCGGAGGACTTAAACCCACACCAGCCGTTGGACATGGACATGTGGAGAGAGCTGCCCAACGCGCGCATACTCATCGTCGATGTGAGTTCCACCGGGGTATCAGTCTCGCCTTTTGCTGCAACGAACCACACCACACCCACCTCAATCCACACCGGCCTCTCGAGATTTGTGGACGAAGCTGCCCAACGCGCGCATACTCATCGTCGATGTGAGTTCCACCGGGGTATCAGTCTCGCCTTTTGCTGCAACGAACCACACCACACCCACCTCAATCCACACCGGCCTCTCGAGATTTGTGGACGAAGCTGCCCAACGCGCGCATACTCATCGTCGATGTGAGTTCCACCGGGGTATCAGTCTCGCCTTTTGCTGCAACGAACCACACCACACCCACCTCAATCCACACCGGCCTCTCGAGATTTGTGGACGAAGCTGCCCAACGCGCGCATACTCATCGTCGATGTGAGTTCCACCGGGGTATCAGTCTTGCCTTTCACCGGTGAGGTGTGCCATGGTAACGAGGTGACTTTTGAGTCGACTCAAAAGTCACCTCGTCGATGTGAGTTCCACCGGGGTATCAGTCTTGCCTTTCACCGGTGAGGTAAAAGCCGTTGGACATGGACGTGTGGTATCAGTCAATCAGTCTCGCCTTTTACCTCACCTCACTGCAGCACCCCACGCAACACAACAACCCCACCCACCCCACACCACACCACCACCCCTTCTCTTCCCCTCTTCCCCCCCCGCCCAGGCCAACGACATGCACCGGCAGGTGGCGCTCTCCATGCTGCGCTCCACGGGCGTGTCCTTTGACGTCGCACGCATGCTTACACATTGCCCCTCTCTCCCCTTCTCCCCTCTCCCTCCCTCTCCCCCTTCCCCCCCACCCAGGCCAACGACATGCATCGCCAGATGGCGCTCTCCATGCTGCGCTCCACGGGGGTGTCCTTTGACGTCGCCAGCTCCTCACAGGAGGCGCTCTCGCTCTTTGAACGCCGCCCCTTCGACCTCGTGCTGCTGGTGAGAATCCCCCATCTCCCCCATTCCTCCTCGTCTCCCCCATTTCCCCGATCGCCCCCATATTCCCCATGTCCACAGTCTCTCGCGACTTCCTTGTCGCCCATGTCTCCCCAACATGCTTGCTCTGTTTCCCCCCCTTCCTCTCAGTCTGCACTGCTCCCTCTGTTCCCCCATCCAGGACTGCTACTTGAACGGCCCAGTTGATGGCTTTGCCACAGCCACTCTCCTCCGCCAGCTAGAGGTCGACATCGCCCTGAAGAAACACCTGCGCAGGAGCAGCAGCAACCGAAGCAACAGCAGCAGAAGCCCCTCCGCTGCCGCCGCGGCTGCCGCTGCTGCAGCAGCTGCTGAGGGACCAGGCACGGTGGTGGCGCGGGCGTGCATTGTGGCGCTGACTCCAGGGACGGGGAACGATGAGGAGGAGGAGGAGCGGTGCACGGCTGCTGGCATGGACTATTTCATTCCCAAGCCGCTCCGACTGAGGGACCTGCACATGGTCATCAGGTGAGAAACGATCATGTGGTTGCAAGGTGAGACAGAGGCATGTTCCGGTGAGGTGAGGGCGGTTTTTGGGGATGGGGAAGCATGAGGAGTGGGAGAGGGACCAGGTACGGTGGTGGCGTGGGTGTGCATTGTGGCACTGACTCCCGGGACGGGGAACGATGAGGAGGAGGAGGAGCGGTGCACGGCTGCTGGCATGGACTATTTCATTCCCAAGCCGTCCGACTGAGAGACCTGCACATGGTCATCAGGTGAGAAACTTTTTCCTCTCTCCAACATGCCTCTTCAAGCAATTCATCCTTCCTACAACCCCCAACCCAACTCAACGGTCAACCCAACCCAACCCAACCCAACCGTTCCCCACCCACCTCAGCAGGCATCGTCTGGAGCTTCCAGGGCATGCGGCCTCCCTAGTCCTCCTCGAAGCACTGATGCCTCTTCAAGCATTGCAACCTTCGTTCAATGCAACTTAGCCCAACTCAACCCATCCCAACCCAACCCTTTCCCACCCATGCAGGCATCGTCTGGAGGTGCTGGCTCCCTACGTGCTCCCAGGCCATGCAGCATCCCTTGTGCTCCTGGAAGCAGCCCCATCCTCCTCTGAAGTCTCTGCTCCTCTCACCAGCACTCTTCTTCAAACCCTGCATTCTATTTCCCTGCAACCTGTGCCCCACACCACACAACCCATGCAGGCATCGTCTGGAGGTGCTGGCTCCCTACGTGCTCCCAGGTCACGCGGCCTCCCTTGTTCTCCTGGAAGCAGCCCCATCCTCCTCTGACGACTCAGATGATGAGGAAGATGACGACGATGATCACCATGATGGTAACGAGTATGGCAAAAACGAGGACAGCAGCACTGCCAGCAACTTGCAGGCGTGGATGCAGGGCCTGGCCCAGGGTGGTGGCTCGGCGGTGGTTCTCAACCAGCCTCCCTTCCACCACCTGGGAAACCACCTGGGCAGTGCGGCACCTGAAGCAGCACCTGACGGGGCACCTGGGTATTCTCCTGGAGCGGCGGCAGCGGCAGCAGTGTCCGCAGCGGCGGCAGCAGGGGATTATGAGGCGCAAAGGCTGTTAATGGCGAGTGCGATGCAGTCCCTACCCCCTGAACTTGCTGGGGCTCTGCAGGGCTGTGACCCTGTTGCTCTGGCGAACGCCTTACAGGCTGTTGCTGCTGCTACCGCTGCTACGTCTGACCCGATGCAGCAGCAGCAGCAGCAGGAAGCGTGGCAGGAGCAGCAGGAGCAGCAGCAGCGGGAGCTGTGGCAGCAGTTTGGCTTGTCGCAGCAATCTTTCTTGTCTGCTGCTGCCGCCGCGGGTTTGGGTGGTGCTGGCCCCAGTGCTGCCGGCGGTGGGGAGAGTGAGGATGAAGGTGGGAGTGTGGTTGAGCTGGATGATGATGACGAGGAGGAAGAGGAAGAGCTAGCGGGGAGTGATAGTGAAGGGTCAGTGGTGCAAGTGCGGGATCCTAAGAAGCTCAGTGCGAAGAGATCAGATATAGCAGAGCTTCTGGTGGAATTGGGGCAGAGGGAGGAGGAGAGCAGGAGAGCGCTTGGGAATGCGGACGGCGGGGGCGGTAGCGGAGACGGTAGCAGGGATGGCAATAACGAGGATAGAAATAACAGGGGCGATGGGAACGGCGGTACTGGTGGTGATCGTGGCGGTGCCGGTGGTGGTGGTGATGGTGCTGATGGTGGTGATAGTGATGGTGAGAGTGACAGCGAGTCAGGGTCTGTAGTAGAATTCGATCCGAACGAGGCCCGTGACTTGAGGAAGCTAAGTTCCAAGCGGTCAGACATAGCAGGGGTTCTCTGGGAGCTGGGCAGGCGAGAGGAGGAGATAGAGGAGGAGGAGGAGACGGGTGGGGGGCTGGCCGGAGGAGGGAGAGGAGGGGGAGGAGGCATGGGAGGGGCGGAGCAGCAGGGAGGGGAGATGCGGGGAATGACGATGCAGGAGATCTGGGCGCAGGTGTCGGCTCGGGAACGACTGGAGGGCACACGTGGGGGCGATGAGGGGTGCAGCGATGATGAGGGTGGGGGGAGAGGTGAGAGAGAGGGGGCTAGGGGAGGGGAGAAGGAAAGGGATGATGAGAGTGAGGAGGAAGAGGAGGAGGATGAAGATGAGGACGACGAGGAGGAAGCGGCACGGCAAGCCATGTTCGGAATGGCCAAGTCCAAAACGTACACCTCTCGGCAGTACCAGCAGCAGATACTGGACGAGGAGGCACAGGAGCGGCAGCAAAGAGGAGGGGGGCAGCAGCAGCAGGGGCGTGGGCACTTAGAGTCAAGATCGCGCTCGTTAGGGCACGGACTGTCGGCAGCAGCAGTGGCGGCGGCGATGCGACCGAGCAGAACAGCCGTAACTGAGCCTCCCGCCATGGTGCCTGGGGCTGCTACCAGGGCTGGTGGTGGTCGTACTGCGGGGGAAGGGGGAGAAGGGGGCCCTCCTCAGATGTCTTACCCTATCCCTGCGGAGTTTGCTTCGCCGTTCCTCCTTCCCCAGAACTTCACCGCGCCGCAGGTGTTAGCGCAACAGGGGATGGGCCGGGGAGCGATGGGAGGGATGGGAGGAGGGATGGGAGGGATGGGGGGAGGGATTGGAGGGATTGGAGCAGCGGGCGGTGGTGTGCCGGCACAGTCAGCAGCAGCAACGGCTTTAATCGCCTCTTTACTCTCCCCACGCAACACCAGCAGTGTGGGTGCCAGTGGGTTTGGAGGGGGTACCAGTGGGTTTGGAGGGGGTATGCCCGCTCCCCTCTCCCCCCACATGCAGGCCTTTCAGGCTGCCCAGTTTGGGCTGTTCGGGCAGTACGGGCAGATGGGTTTTTCCCAAGGTTCCCCATCAGATCCCGAAGCTGCAGCAGCAGCCCTGGCAGCCACATGGCCCAAAGCCAATGGCGGCCCAGGTCTGCCCGGATCTCAAAGCTTGGCCGAGCCCGAGCCTAGCCGCCAGGGTCGGCGGTACGAGCGGCTGAGAGGAAGCAGCTCGGAAGAATCACTCGAGCAGGGGAGTGGGAAGAGAGGAGGGAGAGGAGGGGGTGGCGGCGCTGCTGACAATGATGATGATGATGGGGAGAGTGATGATGACGGGGAGGAGGAAGAGGAGGATGATGAGGATGAGGAGCCGACTTTGGTACGTACCTTCACAGTGAAAGCATCTGGGGATCAGATCAGGAGTCTGCTCAGGAGTAAAACGTCTGAGAGGGGAATGAGGGCGGCGGGAGGGGCGGGAGGAGGCTTGGATGGGGACAGTGACGAGGAGGATACCCGAGGCTTGGTCCGAAGCAAGACGGCAGGTGCGGGGAAGGGGATGCATGCAGAAGAGATGGTGTCGCTGTCGGCCCTGCAGGAGTTCCAGGGGCGAATGAGCAACAGGGGAAATGCCGCTGGTAATGTTGCTGGTGCTGCTGGTGGTGCTGGGATGGGTGGGAATCAGGAAAAGCAGGCAGCAGGAGGCGGGGTAAAGGCGTGGAAGAAGGATTGGGAAGCGGAGTTTCTAGCGAGTGTGGGGCTGACTAAAGTGGGAGGCGTGGTGCAACCACAGCTAGGAGGACGTGGGGGTGGGGTTGACATGGGGAGGGGGGGACAGGGAAGGTAAGGGAATATAGAGCGTTTTGAGCATTTGAAAGGGGGGTTTTAAATCCGATCTGACGCATGGGTGGGGTGTGTACCGGAATCTTTGGTCGATAAATTGGTGTGCAGTCACGTTAAGAAGTATGGTACAGTACCGCATTGTGGTGTGATGCGAATACGAAGGTTGGATTATCAAATCTCTTCGTCCTGATGTAACGTGACCCCACATGGAATGTGAATAACTGGCCCTGCATATTGATGACCACCTAAGGGTGCATTCCTGTGGGGACACAAATGTCTCAATCGCTTTGTGACACACAAATAGAGCATAAACTGTAGTGTGTCCCAATTGCGAGTCGCCTTTCCGCGACCATAACTGTATTTTTTATTGGTCAGCGTGAAACTTGCTGACGTCGCTGACGAATTGTAATCCGACTCGTCAATGTGCAAAATTCGCACGCGGCTCGAAATGTCAATGCACCTGGACAGCCTGCAGTGCCAATTTCGTGCGGGAAAAAATCCCGCGCGTCGAAACCACACCCCAGCCAAGCGGTTGAAGAAAGGGATACACAGTCATTTGTGTCACCCAATCAAATGCGCACAACTGTACATTTCGCCGGGTCGTCTAGAGTCGCGATACATTGGTTGTTTGTGACACAACATTTGGCAAATTTACAGGCACGACTCGGGAAAACGGGGATCGAGACACAAGTGTCCCCGCAGGAATGCACCCTAACACCTAGGTTTTGTGCAAACAGAAAACGCTAGGGTAGAGTAGGGATTCAACGTACGGTACTGTGGTAAGTACTTGAGAAAGCGTGTAGAGTACTGAACTTCAGAAGCACTGAACATCAGAAGAACCGTATCTGTGTAAGTTCAGTACGTGAATTCTCTATAAGGGATCAGCTAGTACGCGGATATCTGGTAGTTGGTGAAATCTCAGTTTGTTACGTCAGGCGTACTCTATGTCATATCTGGTGGTTTTTTCCTTGGGAAGGTAGATTTTCGCCTGATGACGCGCTAACCAATACCCAAATGCTGCTGCTGATCCTGCTAAGAATGCTCCAGCAGTCAATGGGGTAATGTCTTGTGGTAACACGGAACGGAACGTAAGGGCCGTGAATGTGAGAGGCTTTGCTTTGTCGCTTTGTCTCGTACGTCGAGCGTTACGTAACCTGTCGCATTGCTCTTAGAGCTTGTGCTTGCTGAGCTTTCTTTACCGTTTATCACTTGTGTCACTATTTTATCAATATTGTAACTAGGTGTTTCACCCATTTCCGACCTTATTTACGCCGCGTTCAAGTACGCTGGAATTGAACGTTGCCGTTAAATAAGTCGCGGTTGCTCGTCCCTCGTCTCCAGCTCAAGCGAAGCGCATTTTCTCATCACCAGCTTATTTAAGATTCTGCTGACCTTTGCACGGGACAAGACCTAGTCATTGCACGGTTTCTCAAATCGTGACCATTCGTTCGAGCGGCAATGGACGCTGGCGGGTCGTCACAGGGTCGCAATCGTCGCTCGGCGATGCTCCCGGTGGTCTTCGCCCTCGGGATTGTCGCATTGTCGTCGGCGCTCCTGTATCTGCAGGAAGCCGGCTCGCTAGGGAGGGGAGGAGGCCAGGGTAGCAACGCCGCTTGCGCCGTGTGGGATGATAAGGTGAGGTTCTTATTGACAAAAAAACAAATAACAAGCAGACAAACAAATCATCAATATCCCGCCGCGCTATAATAGTGTGCCCACATACCAGCTCGGATCATCATCACCCACAACTTTGCAGTCGTTAGGTATTGTTACTTATCTCTGCCACTCCGTTTGCTATGCGCCTTTTCACTCGTTTCCTGCTGATAATTGCTAATGTCCGGCTCCATCCATCCATCCATCCATCCATCCATCCATCCATCCATCCATCCATCCATCCATCCATCCATCCATCCATCCATGCCTAAGTTGGATCTTACGTTTTCGGTTCTTTACGTTTTCGGACGATTACGACAATTTTTACGTTTACGAACGGTCGCCCTGATTCGGCCTTACGTTTACGGTCACCTAAAAACTTTTCTGAGCTGCCCGAGGAAAAAAAACGACCAGAGCATCAGGAAGATTCCCTCCAACCTAGTTCTGTAACTCGCTATCTTGTTCGACGTCAACCTAGCAGCTCGTTCGCAACCTATCGTGTTTCTCTCTTACTAACCCGGTCAACGCTGAATCTGAAACTTTCACAGACTTGAAAGGCGCTCCATACGTAGTAAAGTCGCTATTCTATGCAGGTACACGACAAATTAGTGGTAGGATCTGGTCGCTATCCTAATATATCACATTAGTTTTTTTTTCCTGCCCGCCTCATACGCGTAATTTTACGTTTCCGTTTACGTTTATGCTAAATTACGCGAAATTTACGTTTACGAGACCTCAAAAAACGTAAGAGACCAACTTAGATCCATGCATCCATCCATGATCCATGCATGCACGAGTGCAGGTGGTACCTCTCGAGGAGCAAATGGCGCATCTAGACCAGCAGGTACGTCTCCCTAGTCTCTCGAGGTAGTAAGTTACATGCCATACCTGCCACTTCCAGGATCTCTCAACAGTCAAAGCACCTCTCTTCACAACCGCCATGCCCCTTGCGAGCAGTGATCCTTTTCTTCCCTTTCCAATGACTGGGTCACATGGAGTTTCGTCCTGCTCCTGTTTTGCCTTCCTTCCTCCTTACCCTCCAGCTCTGCTCTGCTCATCTTTGTAGTCTACGACTCATCTTTTCTTCCTGAAAATCACATATATCCCACCCACTTCTGAGAGACCGAGACGCATTAAGAGTGAAAGTCCTTCTCCCACTGATTCTCATTCCTCTCCGTCCGCTCTTTTTTCACCCCATACGTAGAAACCGCATCTTTCCTGGCCCCTCCCCTCCCCCTGCCCTGTCTTGTCCAACGCCCCATCTCCCACGCGCCATGACTTCACCACCAAACACCTGCCCGTCGCCACGTGTCCCCTTCTCTCTTCCACGCACTGCCTGGGGAGACCTCCTTCAGCTGGCATCTCTCACAGAGAGCATCAGAGTGAGTTGAGTCCGGCTTTTTGAAAATGAATAACAAATCAAAATTCATGTGTTTCACATTTTTGTTTCAGTCAGGCATGCGGCTGCTGCGCTTCTTACCTTCTTGCACTCTCCTCCTGCGCTCATCTTTCCCCGCCGCTCCTCTTTTGCTCCTGCTCCCCCCACTTGCTCCCGCCTCCCTTCCTCCCTCCCGCCTCCCTCAACCCTGACTCCCTCGCTCCTCCCTCCCTCACTTCCGCTCGCCCCTCCCTCCCTCACTTCCGTTCGCTCCTCCAACCCTCACTTCCGTTCGCTCCTCCAACCCTCACTTCCGTTCGCTCCTCCAACCCTCACTTCCGTTCGCTCCTCCAACCCTCACTTCCGTTCGCTCCTCCAACCCTCACTTCCGCTCGCCCCTCCCTCCCTCACTTCCGTTCGCTCCTCCAACCCTCACTTCCGCTCGCTCCTCCAACCCTCACTTCCGTTCGCTCCTCCAACCCTCACTTCCACTCGCCCCCGCCTCCCAATTCCCATCAGGCTCACCAGCAGGCGTTGCTGGATAGGGAGCAGGTACCGTCAGCTGCCACAGATGCTGACGGGGCTGGTGCTGGCGCTGACGTGGCGTTGGGCGACGCTGACCTGGCACGGCCGGCACGGCGAGTGGCTCTTGACCTGGTTGAGATCATCGGCAAGACGCACCTGGTAGGTTCGGGGATGGATTCGATAGGTTCGGGTTGAAATTGGTTGGTTCGGGGATGGATTCGGTAGGTTCGGGGACACATCTAGTACATCTAGTGCTAGTAAACGACGTATGCCTTCATCTGTTCCCCTCCCCCCTCACACCCCCCTCTGTTCTCCCCCCCTCCAAACCCCCCTCCCCCACTCCTACCACCACCAGGATGCTCCTCGGCTGAAGGAGCTGATAGAGCCCATGGCAAAGCGCGTGGGCAAGTGGGTGCAGGACAAGGTGCAGGACGCGTGCCTGTAAAGAACACACACTCTTTGTCTCTCCCTCCCCCTTTCCGCCTCTTTGCCCCCCCCATCACCACCCACCATCAGGACGCCCCTCGGCTGAAGGAGCTGATCGAGCCCATGGCAAGACAGACAGGGCACTAGCTAAAACACACTCCTCGTCTCTCCCCCGCTCCCTCCTTCCCCCTCCCTGCCCCGCCCTCCAGGACGCTCCACGACTGAAGGAGCTGATAGAGCCGATGGCAAAGCGCGTGGGCAAGTGGGTGCAGGACAAGGTGCAAGACGCGTGCCAGCCGTGCCGCCCCTGCAACTCCACCATCGTCCTCGTGGGTACGTGCTTCAGTTGCTGGTACAAGGAGCACCACTATTTCAGGGCTGCGGCTTCTGTAGTTAGCAAGATTCGTGTTTAGAACTCTCATAAGCCGCAGCCTTGTAATGTGACTTTTGAGAATTCTCAAAAGTCACACTTGTAATGCCTCCCACCGCTAAGTGGTGCTCCCAGGATGCGTGCCTGCCGTGCCGTGCCATGCCGGCCCTGCAACTCCACCATCGTCCTCGTGGGTACGTGCAACCCAATGTACTGCAGGCTGGTACGTGTGATTCCAATGTCCCGTGCCAGCTGGTATGAGGAATGGCAGCTTGAGAGAAGCACCTACGAGAGGGCAAGCAAGTGGGTGCAGGACGCATGCTAGCCCTGTTGCCCCTGCAACTCCACCATCGTCCTCTTGTCGCAAGTGGGTACTTACGTACAGCATGCAATCCCAGTTTTGCGGCGCCTCAGAACAAGTGGGTACGTACGTACAGCATGCAATCTCAGTTTTAAGGCGCCTCAAAACAAGTGGGTACGTATGTACAGCATGCAATCCCACCGTGCTGCTTGTTGCTATGTGAATCAGAATCACCTCTATGGTACTCTTGGGATCCCACTCTAGTGCTCTTGGGTTTGTGAATCTTCTCGCCCATGTCCCTCGTCCCTCTCGCCTCCCCCTTCTCTCTGGTCGCATCTCCCTTGCCTGTCCTCCGTTTTCTTCCCTCGCAACCTCACAGGCAAGCCCTGTCGAGTCAACGCCTTCCCCACTACGTGCCAAAGGAGGCTGTCCCCTGCTGAGGTGGACGACGAGGAGGATTTGGAGGGACCGGGCGATGATAGGGTGGAGGGAGAAGGGGGGGCAAGGAGGAGGAGTTTATTGGGCTGGAGTGGAGATGATTTGGAAGGGCCGAGTGATGATAGGGTGGAGGGGGAGGGAGGAGAGGTGGTGGGAGCAGGAAGAAGGAGTTTAATGGGTTGGAGTGGGGAGGATTTGGAAGGGGCGAGTGATGACAGGGTGGAAGGGGAGGGAGGTGAAGTGGTGGGAGAGGGAGCAGGTAGAAGGAATTTGTTGGAGTGGAGCAGAGACGATTTGGAAGGTTCGGATCATGAGATAGTGGAGGGGGAGGGAGGGGGCAGCTACGAAGGGAGAGTAAGAGGGGAGGCAGAAAGAAGGGAGCTGGAGGAGGTGGAAGGAGGGGAGGGGCAAGAAGGGTACCCTGAGGAAGGGGAGGGGCAAGAAGGAGAAGCAGAGGAAGGGGAGTCGGAGGGTGGACGAGGCAGTGGGGGACGGTCTCTCTTGCAGTGGGGGGGCTGGGGGGGGAAGGGCAAGGCGGGCAAGGGCGCACAGGAAGGCGAGAGTGTGTGCAAGAGGGTGTCGCCGTTACACGCCATTCTAGCAGCGGAGTCGGTGGGGGAGAGGCGGCGAGTGGTGAGGGAGCAGGAGGAGAGCGAGAGGAAGCGGCCGCTGTGTCGGGACGGCACGGCTCCGGGTTACTGGAAGGACTACAGCACGTGGGAGCCTTATGGCTGCCGCTACAGGTGTGGTGCTGGTACAGGTATGTCAGAGTCAGGCCTTACAGGCGGCAGTTCTGGTATTTCATATCAGCGGTGCAGGGTACTGGAAGGACTACAGCACGTGGGAGCCTTATGGCTGCCGCTACAGGTGCGCTGCTGCCGTCACAGGTGTATCAGAGTCAGTCCTTACAGGTGGGAGTCGTGATATTACAAAGGTGATGGTTACTGGAAGGACTACAGCACGTGGGAGCCGTACTCCTGTCGCTAGAGGTGTGTCAGAATCAGTCCTTGTTACGGTTCGTTTGCTATTACAGGAAGGGCACTGGTGCGTGAGCGGACGCGAGGAAAGGGGTTGCCATGGTGGAGACAGGTAAGCCACTGGTGCACCGCACTGCTGCAAGGCAACTTATGGCTGTGTGCTTTCATTCCCTGCCCTCTTTCCCACTTCCCTCCTTCCCTCCCAACCCCACCAGGGTGTATAGCAAGAAGGACGTGCGTGCATGCCTGCGCCACAAGTGGGTGCACTTTTTTCGGAGACTCCACTCCACCACACGCCACCTGGCTGCCGAGTTCTGGAGTGACTCATAGATCTTATATCCCCCTGCCCTCGTTTCCTCCTCTCCAACCTAACACCAGGGAATACAGCAAGAAGGAGGTGCGTGCGTGCCTGCGCCACAAGTGGGTGCACTTCTTTGGCGATTCCACCACGCGCCACCTGGCCGCCGAGTTCTCCCTCCTCGCAGGAGTGGAACACCTTGCAGGCGCACTGCTGCATGATGCCACAGAAAAAGCTGTTGGCCTCGGTTCTTGACAGTTCCTGTTCACCTCGCCGTTTTTGCTCGTGACTCTCCTTGCTTCACCATGCCCCTCCCCAACCAAACACCAGGGAATACACCAAGAAGGAGGTGCGGGCGTGCCTGCGCCACAAGTGGGTGCACTTTTTCGGCGACTCCACCACGCGCCACCTGGCCGCCGAGTTCTCCCGCCTCGCAGGAGTGCAGCGGCGGGCGTGGGACGCGGACAAGAACCGCACGGCCCTGATGGATACGGGCGATGGGGACGAGAACTCACCGCTCCCAAGGATTACCTATCTCTTTCGGGGGAAGATGGCTCACCAGCGGCACCCAATTGTGAGTTGGGAAGCGTGAGTCTAGTGTTTGGGGAGTGCATCGGCGGGCGTGGGACGCGGACAAGAACCGCACGGCCCTCATGGACACGGGCGATGGGGACGAGAACTCTCTGCTGCCGAGGATTACCTGTCTCTTCAGAGGGAAGATGGCACAGCAGCGGCACCCAATCGTGAGTTTTGCATGCAGAGCAGGGTGTAATTTGCGTCGGGACAGGAGAGTGCAGTGCAGTGCACGTGCAGTGCAGACCAGAGCGTGGGTCTAGTGTTGATTGTTGCAGCAGAGAGCGTGGGTCTAGTGTTGATTGTTGCAGCAGAGAGCATGGGTCTAGTGTTGATTGTTGCAGCAGAGAGCGTGGGTCTAGTGTTGATTGTTGCAGCAGAGAGCGTGGGTCTAGTGTTGATTGTTGCAGCAGAGAGCGTGGGTCTAGTGTTGATTGTTGCAGCAGAGAGCGTGGGTCTAGTGTTGATTGTTGCAGCAGAGAGCGTGGGTCTAGTGTTGATTGTTGCAGCAGAGAGCGTGGGTCTAGTGTTGATTGTTGCAGCAGAGAGCGTGGGTCTAGTGTTGATTGTTGCAGCAGAGAGCGTGGGTCTAGTGTTGATTGTTGCAGCAGAGAGCGTGGGTCTAGTGTTGATTGTTGCAGCAGAGAGCGTGGGTCTAGTGTTGATTGTTGCAGCAGAGAGCGTGGGTCTAGTGTTGATTGTTGCAGCAGAGAGCGTGGGTCTAGTGTTGATTGTTGCAGCAGAGAGCGTGGGTCTAGTGTTGATTGTTGCAGCAGAGAGCGTGGGTCTAGTGTTGATTGTTGCAGCAGAGAGCGTGGGTCTAGTGTTGATTGTTGCAGCAGAGAGCGTGGGTCTAGTGTTGATTGTTGCAGCAGAGAGCGTGGGTCTAGTGTTGATTGTTGCAGCAGAGAGCGTGGGTCTAGTGTTGATTGTTGCAGCAGAGAGCGTGGGTCTAGTGTTGATTGTTGCAGCAGAGAGCGTGGGTCTAGTGTTGATTGTTGCAGCAGAGAGCGTGGGTCTAGTGTTGATTGTTGCAGCAGAGAGCGTGGGTCTAGTGTTGATTGTTGCAGCAGAGAGCGTGGGTCTAGTGTTGATTGTTGCAGCAGAGAGCGTGGGTCTAGTGTTGATTGTTGCAGCAGAGAGCGTGGGACGCGGACAAGAACGGCACGGCCCTCATGGACACGGGGGATGGGGACAAGAACTCCGTGCTGCCCAGAATCATGTACCTCTTCCGAGGGAAGATGGCGCACCAGCGGCACCCCATTCTGAGCCACGCATGAGGGGCGGCTTGCTTTTGAGTCGCGGCCGCCGTCTGGTTCAGTCGCCGTCTGCATCGGGGCACATGTGGTGCCAAGTGGTTGGATACCCCTTCCCCTTGTCCATGCCTACCCCCTCCCCCCACCCATTCCCCCTCGAGGTGATCGGGCTCCTCCACTTCTTATGCCACCCTCCCTCTCCCCGCCCCCTCTCCTCCCCCCATATCAGGCCGGGGTGCCCCCTGAGAGGGACCTGAACAACGACTTCCTAGAGGCGTTTAGAGACCCCAAGGCAAAGCAGCCGGACACCATGGTGATGAGCATCGGGGCACACGAGGTGATCGGATGTCGTGTCCTTTCTTCTTATCCCTGCCTCCCCCTCTCCCCTGCCGCCTTCGCCCCCGTCTTTTCTCAACCCATCCCTTCTCCTCTCCCTCGTTTTAGGCCGGAGTGCCCCCTGAGAGGGATCTGAACAACGACTTCTTGGAGGCCTTCAGAGACCCCAAGGCAAAGCAGCCGGACACCATGGTGATGAGCATCGGGGCGCACGAGGTGATCGGGTGGACGAGGCGGCCTCCGCCGGACCTGGACTTGCGCACGTTCAAGCGCGACACGGAGGAGGCGATTGCTCTGCTCAATGGCACCTTCACCCGCGGGCGCCTCGTGTGGTGGAAGGCCCACTACATCTGGCCAGGTGGGGCTTGTGAATCGTATGTGTTCTGTAGAAAGAGGCGATTGCTCTGCTCAATGGCACCTTCACCCGCGGCCGGCTCGTGTGGTGGAAAGCGCACTACATCTGGCCAGGTGAGACCTGGGGGTTCAGGGTAGGTACAGTGCAGTTTCTAAATGGAGGTCGTTGCGCTGCTCAATGGCACCTTCACTCGTGGCCGGCTCGTGTGGTGGAAGGCGCACTACATCTGGCCAGGTGAGGCTTGAGGTGCACTGCATGCGGTCAGGTATGGACTTGAAGCGCACGGTATGATGAGAGTTGAAGTCTTAAATGCCAATAAATATTTCAATGTGCCTTGGTTTTCCCTGGCTAGTGCTTGCATCAGCCTCACATGCTTCTCCTCTTTTTGTTCACTTCTCTCGGTGTTCAGGGAAAGTTGTAGGGCAGGATTATTTCACAGTGCGCACATTCCACGAGCTCTACCAGGCATATGCGTACAGGCGCATGGCACAACAGGGCTACACCATGATGGATCTTTACCAGACGACTAAGGACAGATACGACCAAGTCTTTAGAGGGGATGGAGCACACTATGTAGGCCTGTGCTTGAAGCTTCACGTTCAAATTCTGGCCAATACCCTTTGCAACCATCTGCACAAGTCTTAGGTCTCTTACCGTCACTGGCCTTGGTATTTACTTCACTGGTGTAAGTCCTACATTATGTTTTATGTGTGACCCCTCCCTCCCACCAATTTAAGCACATCTGCGTTTGTACTTGAACAGGCAAAGAAATGGGGCCGGCAAGGCAACTCTCAAATAATGTAAATCAATTTGGACAATTAAAAGGTCGGCTACTAAATCTAATGCAAACCTGACAAAAAAGGTATATTAGTATAGGCATAAGCGTATGCGCCAACAGGGTTCGCTTATATCAGGGGAATCACGGTCACCTCGTACTGCTAAACTGTAGCAGGAACGCAAGCTGCCAATTCGGTGAGTGTCAGTATGTCAAAGGAAGAGGACGAGAGTTCCGGACAAAACAACATTTTGCGAAATGCCAAATGCTGCAAGCTGGTTGTTGACTATTCTCTGTTTCCAGCTATTTCGCCACGCCTGGACGGCTTTCGCTCGTGTAACATCAACGGTTTCGTCAGAACTCGCCAAATGTCCGCTTCGCCATTCTTGCGTCCGCCACACCCTGCTGATCTGGACAGGTGAATCTTTCCAAAAACATTTCCCTCTGGTTTTGCTCCCTCAGGTAGGTCTCTCACTCACAACTCGACTTCAGTCGTGACAGGATGTGCTCACTGAATGGCCTTGACTGAAAACAGAGAACCTTGATTTTGCCGAGCAAGTGTCACAAGCTCCATGGCTCTTCTAGGTTAGAAACCGTGCTTTCTGGAACTTATTTTTTTCCTTCGCGCAAGAACGCTGGCGACGAACCATTACTAATGGACTGAAAGAGGCGAAAAGGGAACAAAGCACGACGAGCAGTTTGGCAGCATCCTGGCTGTCAGCACTAGTTATTATCCTCAAGAAGACCCTGGCTCATGAAACGATTCACAACCACCGCGGTAACATCATAACTGAAATTAGTGCGCACTCAGCGTATCTGGTTCGCTGCATTGTGTGTTACCATTTCTGAGGCGCCTCGGAAACTGACTCCGCCACAACATCGGCATCCCCGAAAATGGTACGCATTTGACGCATTTAGGTTCTCTTTAAACTGATTGAAGTCAGTTGTGTTTTGAGTCAACGCAGAAAAGCTATGTTGAATCGACTCAGAGCCACTGCCTCGACATCCCTGAAAATGTTACGGATTCGACGCGTTTTAGCTGTCCGCATTTTCTATAACCATTTCCACCCGCTAGTATCCCCCACGCTTTATATTTTCCTCTCTTGATTTCGTTTTCCCTTGTTCAAATGTTTTTGCCAATTTCTACCCGAATCCATTCTGCCCTCCTCTGTCTGCCATTAGCAGGACTCCCCTCCCAGGGATGTCACGGACGCCTGCAACAGCAGCGCGAGCAGACTCTGAGTCATATAAGTCAATTCAAGCACTCCCCCCCTCTTCTGTCTGCCATTCCCAGGAGGACTCCCCTCCCAGGGATGTGACGGACGCTTGCAACAGCAGCGCGAGCAGCGACAATGCGGGTCGAACGCACCGCAAGGAACGGAAAGAGCGTAAGGAGCGGAAGGAACGGGAGGAAGGGAGTGAAGGTTCGGAGGGAAGGCACCGGGAGGAGCGGAGGGAGAGAAAGCACGGAAAAGAAGATGGAAAGGAGGAGCTGGTGGAGAGAGAGAGGCGCGTGGAAGATGGTACGGGGAGCCTGGGAAAGGAGGGGTCACACGCGGAGGGGGAGGAGGAGAGGGAGAAGAGGGAGAAAAGAGAGAGGAAAGAGAGAAAAGAGAGGAGGGAGAGGAAGGAGAAGAAGGACGGAGAGGATAGAAAGGAGAAAAAGGAGAGGAAGGAGAAGAAAGAGAGGAAGGAAAGGAATGCACTGACGCCCAGAGCAGGGGATCTGATGAGCCAGAGGGGACGGGGGTTTGAGGTTCCAGCTGGTGAGCTGAGGAGGACCAGGAGCGGGGGTACGCACCCGGACGGGGTGGTGGAGGAGCAGGAGGAGGGGAAGGAGGGGGAGAAGGAGAAGGAGAAGGAGAAGGAGAAGGGTTGGGGGGGAGAATGGGGGAGGAGGGAAGGGGAGGTAACGGACGGGAGAAGAGGGAGAGAAGATGGTGAGATGGATGGGGCGAATGGGGAGAGCAGAGTAATGGGGAATGCATATGGTGCTGCAGAGGTAGCAGCGGCAGCCGGCGTGGCAGGAGCAGCCGGCGTGGCAGGAGCAGCAGGAGCGGTTAAGGAGCTTCTCACTCGCCAGGCGAAACGTGAGGGTGAGTTGAAAGAACGAGAGAGGCGAATCCGCGAGCTGGAGGAGGGGAGAGTGGCTCTGGAGAGCGAGAGAGCGCGGGTGCAGGAGGAGGGGCGGCGAGCAGCGGCAGAGATGCAGCGATTGGTGGAGCAGAAGGAGCGTCTGGAAAGAGATCAGGCACGGTTAGAGGCGGAGAAAGAGCAATTGGAAAGGGAGAAAGAACAGCTAGCAAATGAAAAGAGCCAAGGTGAGGAGGAGAAGCAGCGATTGCAGGAGGAGATGAGGCGAGCAGATGAGGAAAAGAAGCAGTGGGACGAGGGGAAGAGGCAGTGGGAGGAGGAGAGGCAGCGACTGGAGGAGGAGGTGGAGTATCTAACCCAGGAGCTGGAAACCGAGCAGGAGATCGCAGCAGAGGCTGCTGAGATGGCGCAGCGGGAGTGGGCGGCGCGGCAGGAGGCGCTGCGCCAGCTGGCAGAGGTGGAGCGTGAGCTGGCGATGGAGGCGAGCGAGGCTGACGTGGCAGCAGCTGCTGCCGCTGCTGCAGCTGCAGCGAGAGAAGCAGTAGGAGCAGGAGCTTCTGAGGGAGTGACTAGCACCCTGAATCAGAGCGGATCTCTTGAAGAATCAGCTGCGGATTTGGCCTCTTCCGTTCGATCACTCTCATTCAAGGACCAGGCCACTGAAGCTGGTAGGGTTTATGAGCCTGCTCAAGAATCATCGCTCGCAGGACAAGGTACTGAAGCTGGCTCTGACCCCTTAGCTGAATCTGGTAACCCCTCAGACCCCTCTGACCCCTCTGACCTCCCCTCAGGCTTCTCTGGTTTCGACTTAAAACCGTCTGAACCAGGCCTTGGACCAGCACCGCACTTGACCGCTTTCCCGACCTCTCAATCTCTCTCTGCCGCTGCTTACTCTGCCGACCAAGCTCACCACCCTAGTTCTCACCATCCCAGGCGTGTAGGCTCGGCAGCGCCGAAGCTGGACGTGCTGGCTCGGATACGATCCGCCACCTTTGTCCTCCGCAACAGCAGCAGCCTCTCCAACACCCCTCTGGGAACCACCCCTTTGGCCTCCCCTGGGTATACGGCTAAAAGCTCTGTGTTCTCCTCAGCAGCAGGAACATCAGAGGCAGCAGCAGAGGCAGCAGCACAGGCAGTGCAGGTGTCATCTGGGAAGGGTGACAATCAGTCCAAAGTGGAAGAGACAGGGGACGGTACGGAGGTTTCACCGCTGTGCGTGCTGCTGCAGCAGCAGCTGCGCCATCACCAGCAGCAGATGGCAGGTGCTGATGGGACCGCTGCTGCCGCTGCTGCTACTGACGCTGCTACTCCTGATAAAACTACTACTCCTGCTGCTGCCTCACATGTGGATATCTCGGGAACTAGAGGGCGAACCTCCTTCCCCAGGCAAGCAAGCAGGTCAGCTTACATCGGCCAGCGACAAACGAGTGGTCTCACAGCTACAGCAGCAACAACAACAACAGCAGCAGGAGGAGGAGCAGCCAGCTCAGAGCAAACCAACTCAGAACAAACCAGCTCAGACCGAACCAGCTCAGACCGAACCACAGCGAGGTTCGGTGCTCGCCCTCCCCTGCGCCGGCGCTGCTTCACCGGCATCAATGCCACCTCGCTGCCCCCGTCCTCTTCCGTCCTCTCTGCCGCCTTTCCCCTCTCTCCCTCGTCCGGTGCGGTCTTGTCCGGAGGGGGAGCGGCAGTGGGGGGAGAGGAGGGGTTTGAGTACTGCGGGGGTCAGAGCAAGGCGTGGAGAGCGGTGCACTGCGGTGGCTTTGTGCACGTGCTGCTGCAGCTGTCGCTGCTCGGCGTGAATCGGCTGGAGGATTGCGTTGCAAAAGCAGAGGCGGCACGGGTGGCGACAGACAAGACTGCAGCAGCAGCAGCTCTGGCAGCAGCAGCAGAAGTAGAAGCAGCAGGGAAATATCTAGCAGTGTGCTCCGCTGCTGCTGCTGCTGCTGCTGCTGCTGCTGGCTCTGATGTTGCTGGGCCCTCTACGGCTTCTGCCTCAGGTTCCTCTGCTGCTGCCAGTGCCCCTGCCTCTGCACCTGCGTCCGCCTCTTCTGGTATCTCTGCTGGCTCGGCTCTGCTCTCAGTGCTCTCCTTCAGTCGGCTGTTTCAGCCTCTTGCTGCCGCTGCAGTCACGGCAGCAGCTGCAGCAACACCAGGCTCAGCAGGCGCAGCAGGAACAGCGGGCAGCATTCCTGAGGAAGGGACAGAGCTTGTAGATCTCAGTAGCAGCAACAGCAGTGGGAGATTATCACTGAGCAACCGCAATACCGCTGACAGCAGCGGCAGCGGTGGCAACAGTAGCGTCGGTGTAGGCAAGGCTTGGCAAGAGGCTCGGGAACAGGATCCAGAGAAGGATCAGAAGCAGGCTCGGAAGCCGGCTTGGGAGCAGGCTCGGAAGCTGGCTTGGGAGCAGGTTCGGAAGGCTCGGGAGCAGTCAGTAGAATTATACGTGCTGGAGCTACAGGCTGAAGCTCTGAAGGCTACAGCCGAGGTGCTGAGGGAAGAAGCTAGTGTGGAAGGGAGGACAGTGAGGCGGCTGACAATGGAGAAAAGAGATTTTGAGGAGAGGGTGGCTGGGTTAGAGGCCACTCTTGTTTTTTTTAGGAAAGACACAGACAATGCTGATGCGCTGGCTGGAGATACTGAGGTTCTTGGGGGAGGAGAGGCGGAGGGAGAAGGTATGGTTGGGGAAAAGGAGGGGGCGAGGAGGGGAGAGGGGCAGGAGGAGGGGGGGAATGTGGACGGGGTAGATAATGGGGCAGAGAAGGTGGGGGAGAGGGAGGAGGGAGAGGGTGTGGTTGCAAAAGAGCATGGATTAGAGAGGGTAGGGGACTGGAAGGAGGAGCAACCTGTGCAGGTGGGGGAGGGGGAGGAGGAATCAGTGCAGATGTCTCGAGATGTGCTTCGCACGGCCGTTACAGATACTCGGAAGCAAGCCGAAGCGCTTGACCAGGTGGGTCAACGCAAGTCAATGTGCTTGACCAGGTGGGTCAACGCAAGTCAATGTGCTTGACCAGGTGGATCAACGCTAGTCAATGTGCTTGACCAAGTGGGTCAACACAAGTCAATTTGCTTGACCAGGTGGATCAACGCTAGTCAGTGCGCTCCCCCTCCTCCTCCCACACCTTCCTTGTATATGTCGCCGCCCTTCCTTCTCCACGGGCTATTCTTGCCAGCTGGCAGCTTTTTTAGACGACTCAAAAATACGACTTCCCCCCCCCCCTTTGTATCCGCCACCTTTCCTTCTCCACGGGCTATTCTTGCTAGCTGCCAAGCGAAAGAGGACAAGCTCACTCTCCCCCCCCTTCCCCTCCCCCTCCCTCTCCCCACCCCCTCCTCCTCCCGCGCCCCCCTTGTATCCGCTCCCGCCTTTCCTTCTCCACAGGCTATTCTTGCCAGCTGCCAAGCAAAAGAGGACAAGGAGAGGGAGAGGGACATGGTGCTCCGAAGGCTGAGTGAGGTCGAGACAAGAATCGCCGTCCTGAAGGCCACGGATGGTGCCACCATCGCCTCTGTTTCAGTGAGTCGGCTAACTTGTTGCGATGCTGCAATGCTGTGCTGCTGCCTTTTGAATCGACTGGGTGGTGCCACCATCAACTCTGCTTCTGTGAATCGGCTATCTCGTTGCAATGCTGCAAGCTGTGCTGCTTCACTTTTTGACTCAAAAATCGACTATCACGCGTGGTGCCACCACCAACTCAGCTTCTGTGAGTCAGCTATTTTGTTGCAATGCTGAAATGCTGTGCTGCTTCCTGCTGTTACAATTCTAGTGTAAATATTTAGCCAGCTTGCCTGGTGTGGGCAGAATTCTCATTTGATCGCTCCCTTGTACTGTCTGCTACAATACCCTATTTCTTCAGGGAAAATGGGACTTCGTTGCCACGATGACCCCTCTCCTAGCCATGGTGTTACCAGGATACGTTGACGCCGCACAAACTCGCGCGCTTACACAAACTCCTTCGTTGCCACAATAGCATAGCTGACTTGAAAGGATGCAGTGTCCGCAGCTCTGCAGTGAGTCATTGAAATTGAATGTTTGCTGCAATGGATGTGTGGTTTGTGATTGTGCTTATGGTGGTTGGGTTGCTTAATGTGTTTACATGGGTTAATTCCACAGCAGGTACTCCAATATCAACTACTTTCCCCTGTTACACTGATGTATATCATAATTACCAGTATCATGTCGAGCATGGTAGAATGTATTTCTCTGTTCGCGTATGTTTCGGGGGATGCATCTTCCATCATTCGGCGATGCCACCTGGAGTTAGTCCACGATGGATACACGTCCCCATGAAAAGAGTGCATGCACCGTTTCCCTCCTTATTCAGGTTCTCCTGCCCACCTTGGTTTGATCAAATTCATGTCGCGTCGTTGATTCGTGGGGTAGCATTCTTCGACTCGCGGTTTTCTTTTCACTAGTCAGTCCAGCAGCACCATGACCCTTTTCAACATGCCTGAACCAATCAGGACTCGCGAGATGTGTGTCACAGCCACCACACGTTTCCTTTCCCTCTCCCCCTTCCACGTCAATCGTCCTCGTCAGCCTTGGGATCTCCCTCCTGGCCCACAGATGAGCACCTCACGTCAGCAAATGTCTGGATGACTGGATTCAGAATTCAGCAAGCAACACTCCCAGCCCGCGTACGAGCCATGGATAATGGAATTGAACCAAAGGAGATATCATACATTGTTTCAAAGTCTCCTAAACCAGTAGATCATTCACCATTGCATTTGCTTTCAGGACGCTTCGTGGAGGCTTAGCTGCTTGTGCGTTCGGAGGTAGTTTCTTTACGTTCTAGGCTCGTGGTGTTGCACGTTTTCTGCTGAGTGCCCCCGTGCAGCAGTGAACAAAGCAACCACCATGATGCGTAAAGGAGCCCTCCGTGTTCTGGCCGCCGCCATGGCCAGGCAATCAGCAGCCTCAGCCGGCGTTCCGGCACCCCTAGGAGCCTCCCTGACTCCTGCCGCTGGAATCATCCCTCGAATCCTCCACCGAGGATTCGCCAGTGATGAGAGTCTGAAACGTACCCCCTTGTACGATTTCCACGTGGCGGAAGGCGGGAAAATGGTCCCCTTCGCCGGATACAGCATGCCGATCCAATACAAGGACAGCATTATCGATTCCACCATTAACTGCCGGACAAACGGAAGCCTGTTCGACGTCTCCCACATGTGCGGCCTCAGCCTCAAGGGCAAGGATGTAATTCCTTTCCTCGAAACGCTCGTGGTTGGCGACATTGCTGCTCTCAAGGACGGGACTGGCACCCTGTCGGTCTTCACGAACGAGAAGGGTGGAATCATCGACGACACTGTCATCACTCGGGTTACCCCTTCGCACATCTATCTCGTCGTCAACGCCGGGTGCCGCGAGAAAGATCTGAGTGAGTCATTCACGGGTGGATGTGCATTGCCAGCGTTGTTTTCACATTTCCCTGACCATACTGTTCAACACTTCCCAATGTCCCCCGTTACCGTCCAATCAATCCTCCCTCGCAATACAATATTATGTAACAATGACTACCACGTATCGGCGGTCCGTCTTTCAGCCACGACAGCTTCTTTAGCACCTCCAACTCACACACTTCCCCATTCCCTTCCACATTGTTTTACATCCGTGACCCACAGACCACGTCGGAGCTCATCTGGAGGCCTACAAGGCTACCGGCAAGGACGTTCCCACCCTTGCGAATTCTCGAATATCGCTTTCCCTGTCCTTTCCGAACATCGTTCTACATCCTTGACCCACAGACCACATCGGAGCCCATCTGGAGGCCTACAAGGCGGCCGGCAAGGACGTTTCGTGGCAGATTCACGACGACCGCGCGCTGCTGGCGCTGCAGGGCCCTCTCGCGGCGTCCACGCTGCAGCCGCTCGTGTCGGCGGACCTCTCCAAGATGTCCTTCAGCGATTTCACCATGCTCAAGATCGACGGCCACGATTGCTTCCTCACCCGGACGGGGTAAGTCAAGCAGTTCTCTCCCTTTCTGCTCCCATTTTCTGCTTTGCATGGATTATATTCCATGTCTGCTTTTACTCTGTCGGGACGAATCTGGACGGTGCTTCGAAAACTACCAACGGCTTAACTCCATCGGCAGGAGCCATGCTCACAACGCGGAAGATTTGGCAGAGTTACATGGTTTGGCCTTGTCACAGTTAAATCTGGATAACGCGTGCATTCTCCTGCTTCGGTCAAAAGGTCTGACTGATGCTGGTCAACTATTATCCTAACACGAATCCAAATCCTCACTCTTATGCCCCCTCCACCCACTTCCAGCTACACTGGAGAGGACGGGTTTGAAATTTCCGTGCCCAATGAGAACGCACTGGCACTTGCCAAGAAGCTCCTCGAGGTTAGCGAGGGGAAGGTGAGGCTCACCGGCCTTGGCGCTCGTGACTCCCTCCGCCTGGAAGCCGGACTCTGCCTCTATGGCAACGATTTAACGGAGGAAATCACCCCGGTGGAAGGCGCGCTTGCATGGACAATCGCGAAGAGACGGCGGGCAGAGGGGGGATTCATTGGAGCTGACGTGATTCTGAAGCAGCTGGCAGATGGGCCTGCAAGGAGGAGAGTGGGTTTGACGTCTACAGGAGCTCCTGCTAGGAGCCATGTAGAGATTTTGGATAAGGATGGGAATGTTGTTGGAGAGGTGACCAGTGGAGGGTTCAGTCCGTGCCTGAAGAAGAATATTGCGATGGGGTATGTGAAGAATGGGCTGCACAAGGCGGGTACAGAGCTGAAGGTGAATGTGAGGGGTAAGGTGAATGATGCTGTGATTACGAAGATGCCGTTTGTTCCCACCAAATATTACAAGGCATGAGTATATGCTGTTCTAGTGCTGCTTTTGTTCTGGGAAGGGCAAGGTTGATTAGGGGCATTGCGAGCTCTTTTGAGTCTGATACCACTTTCATATGGTCCAGCTGATTTTACCCAAGCAAACATGTGATGGCACGCAAGCACCCTCAGGTGCAATTGTATGGTGGTCACAAGAACACAACTACTGAATTTCTGGTTATAGAATATCGAATGTGTAGTTTACAGTTCGAAAGTCATTATACACTATCGGTCCCAGCAATAACTCTCTACACAACATTTTGTGTATTCCAAAGGTTGCCACGCGACCTCCTCAGGCTGTACGAATAACATGCAGGGATTTCTTGACCAGGATACGGTACAGTTCATTGCAACAATTGGCTCTCCTTCCGAAGACCTCGGACATGCCCAGAGTTGCTGCCTCCTCGTCCGAACATCACATTCTGCACATGGAAATAGGATCTTTCCGTGAACAACGGAGCACATCTGAAACATACACTTGATGCCCAGTAAATTTCTTCGACATACAATTCCATGGATCAGACAGCATTCGTACCCTGCATGAGAGCAAAGTACACACGGTCCCTGGCCAATTTCAATCCCACCAATTTCGCATCCCTGAGCAACCCTTTCTGGTTTACCCGAAATCGGGGGTCATTCGGACATATTAGGTTTCAAGTAGAAAAATGTTCGAGACTACCCATATGAGTCAGCAGGAAACAGGGTCGCAGCGGAAAATCCCGTCTAGGCGCTGCAGCCACTGCGAGAAAGTTTCCCGAGATCGACACTAGACAATGTCACGAGTAGCCTTTAGTTTCTGAATGTTTGATCCCTAAAGCCAAAAACGGTCAAGGGTAATTTGTGAAAAATTTCAGGGGACGTGAAATTGGCGAGGAAACGACAAGAACTGGTTTCATTCCTAGCCCCAACACATAGCTTTAGGAACTCACAGAACTACTTTCGTGGCTGGTACGTGTATATCTGTTAGAGCAACATGTATTTCAAAAACTGCTATTGAAGAGAAAATCGAGTGGACGAGGCTGGAAACTCCACACACGTTGAGGAATGAGAAAAAGAAGTGAATCTCCGAACTGGCGTTATTAAAGCCGCGGTGCAACTATCTTAGGAACAGTGACAAGCCGGGTTTTGTCTTGTTCCGTACTGGTAGTCAATTGGCTAGCGAGTGTGTAAGTTGTGTTGCGATGAAAACATCCAAGGCGAATGTCGCGAACCTCGAAAGGAAAAGTGGGGGGGGAGGGGTGGGGGGAAGGGAAGGGGGGAACACACACGAAACGGGAAATGGGACCACATCAACACCCCCATACTCCCTTTCGCTGATTGTTCTGCCAATAACACCTCCACATTGCAAAACGATAAACCTTATGTTTCATAAAAACTTTGCAAAATACATATTTCACTTACAAGGTTTATTTTTGTTTATTTATCCATCCATTTGCAAGAGTATTATTTCTAATGGGGAGAAAGAACATCAACTGTACAGACCTGCAAGACTTGGAATGTCATATTGAAATCCTTATCATGCAAAGGATCGCAAGCAAACAACATGGCATAATCCAAGGAGAGCCGATTTTTACACTCCGATCCACTATTGGTGCAGCTGTCCATTTACAGGGAGGAGGGGGGAGGGGAAAAGGGGAAGGAAACGTTGCGCATTATTGAAGAATGTTAGGTAGGGAAATTGAAGAGAGCATGGAAATTGAGATATGATAGACAGCCTTCAGTGGCCAAGCAAAGCTGGTACTGTTGGCTGAATTGAACGAGAGAACGTAGTGGAAAGGGAAGGGACGGTAGTGGGGGAAGGCGAGGGGCAGGGGAGGGGGGAAAGGGATGGCTGAGAGAAGCGTGAATGGTGGGAGAGGACGGTAGGAAAGGGAAGGGATGTGAGAGAGGGGGATGAAAGGTGGGAGGGAAGGACAGGGGGAAAGGGAGAGAAGGACAGGGGGAAAGGGAGAGAAGGACAGGGGGAAATGGAGAGGAGGACTGGGGGAAAGGGAGAGGAGGACAGGGGGAAAGGGAGAGGATGACAGGGGGAAATGGAGAGGAGGACAGGGGGAAATGGAGAGGAGGACAGGGGGAAAGGGAGAGGAGGACAGGGGGAAAGGGAGAGGAGGACAGGGGGAAAGGGAGAGGAGGACAGGGGGAAAGGGAGAGGAGGACAGGGAGAAAGGGAGAGGAGGACAGAGGGAAATGGAGAGGAGGACAGGGGGAAAGGGAGAGGACAGGGAGAAAGGGAGAGGAGGACAGGGGGAAATGGAGAGGAGGACAGGGGGAAAGGGAGAGAAGGACAGGGGGAAAGGGAGAGGAGGACAGGGGGAAAGGGAGAGAGGACAGGGGGGAAGGGAGAGGAGGACAGGGGGAAAGGGAGAGAAGGACAGGGGGAAATGGAAAGGAGGACAGGGGGGAATGGAGAGGACAGGGGGAAAGGGAGAGAAGGACAAGGGGAAAGGGAGAGGAGGACAGGGGAAAAGGGAGAGGAGGACAGGGGGAAAGGGAGAGGAGGACAAGGGGAAAGGGAGAGGAGGACAGGGGGAAATAGGGAGGAGGACAGGGGGAAAGGGAGAGGAGGACAGGGGGAAAGGGAGAGGAGGACAGGGGGAAAGGGAGAGGAGGATAGGGGGAAAGGGAGAAGAGGACAGGGGGAAAGGGAGAGGAGGACAGGGGGAAAGGGAGAGGAGGACAAGGGGAAAGGGAGAGGAGGACAGGGGGAAAGGGAGAGGAGGACAGGGGGAAAGGGAGAGGAAAACAGGGAGGGAACTGCCCAAGAGAAGTTGATGCTGAGGACCGGGCAAGGGATCGGAAAGGGGGAGGCATTGGAGAGGAATAAATATGGAGGGGGACGCGAGATGCTTCGCCACCGTCGCACAGATGCTTCGCCCCGCTGCTCGCTATCGTCGCCCTGGTGCTTGCTATCGTCGCCCTGGAGCTCGCTATCGTCGCCCTGGTTGTCGCTATCGTCGCCTTGATGCTCGCTATCGTCGCCCTGGACCTCGCTATCGTCGCCCTGGTGCTCGCTATCGTCGCCCTGCTGCTCACTATCGTCACCCCGCTGCTCATATCATCGCCCCGCTGCTCGCTATCGTCGCCCCGCTGCTCGCCACCGTCGCACCCATTCCTGCCTGTCGCTACCGTTGCGCCTTTGCTACCGCAGATACGTGAGGAATGGAGGGGTGGGAGAGGAATAAGGACGGCAACGGAGGAAAACGAGCGCAATGCGCTTCGAATACGACAAAAAGGTGTTTACGAGGTAGGAAATTGCGCAGATATTCGTGAGCACATCAATAGACCATGAAACGCGAGAAATCTTAGCGGAAATGGCTCTGCGTAGCTCGGAAAACGCACTTCAAGTTAGTAAGAACCTAGTTCAAGCGTGAGAGTTTGCCGAGTTTGTGTTGTTTTGAGTTCAAGTTTGAATTTTCAAGTTTGCTGCATGCGCTCCCCCTCAACTCGTTGAGCGGAGCTTTTCCCCGAGCCCTCCCCCGTTTCCCCCCCACACACATCATACTGCGAAGGACTTTTCCGCACGCCCTTCCCCCGCTGGCAGAAACCTCTCCCTGCTCGCTTTCCTGTGTATACTGGGTTACGCGGCTTTCAAACTATAATAGTTTGAACTGGAGCCCGGATATCTGCACCGCGGCTTTAATTATGTCCAGCGATATGTGTGGACGGATTTGTTCTGGTGGGAGAGCGAGCTGAAAGCCCAGTCACAACCACAACATCCATAGTTGTCACACCACCCTCCGTCACACGTCATTGACCAACGTCGTGTGACAACTGCAGTGACTCGTTAGGCGGTGTACTGCCCACAAAATTTTCACAGTACACGTATGTCATCCTTTTCATGCCCATACCATAGCAATTTGTGGAGTCTTCTGGTTGGTTGACACTTTTATTGTTTGAACTGGAATCTGCCCAAACCATCAGCCGTCCGCATCACTACCAACCATTATCCAACCAACCATCTCGAAGTTGCCTGTCACATGATCACCGTCCAGATACTGCGCGCCAAAAAATCAGTGTCTGTCTTTTCCTGCTCTACCTTCTAACCTCCAAATTTGGCGGAAATCTTGCCGCTTGAGAAGCTGCCGCGTGGCAGAAAACCCGGTGATTGGAAGAGCATTTTGAACCGCTTCTTGACGTCCACGTGTGACACGCGAGGCGCGGTGGGGCTTCCCTTCGCACACCCAAATTGGTGCCCTCCTAGAAGTTGTCACACCACCAGATTGCTCGCGGGTTTCTCATTTTTTTGCCAGTGCCATATCCCGATTTCCGATTCGCTCGCACCGCAGCACAGCACCACACGGAACGGACGGAACAGAACACCTAGGAGGTTTCGTCAATTCTGCCCGTGTGGCTGGCAGTTGCAAGCAGGAGGAGGCCATCGCATTTGAGTCCTGACATCTGCCCCTCTTCTGCAGCATTACCCTTCCATCACTTGGTGGTCCTAGCCTAGAGTCCTCCGCTCCTCTCTTGGCCAGCATTCAGGGTAGAGATATCGGATGTCTGCTCATTGCCACCAACTCAGGGACACAAAATTAGCGGGGTTGCACGATATCGTGACTGATTGTTGTAGACGGTTGTGCCTGAAGCCTTTCTTAACAATAAGGATTGCTCTCACCCCGGATCTCCCAGCGTGTTGCCCGTCAAACACACGTTCCTGTCCATCCCAGAGATCACGAGAGTGGCACTGTTATCCGCAAACTCCCAGCGTCCCTTTTCCAGGTAGTTGAACCCGCTCGGTCCTTAATTTTCACACTCCGCTATGGTCTCCCCAGATCCTTCATCTGACGGTGAGAAACGAACTAAAGAGGAGGATGGCGCAACTCCCGTTCAGAATTTCCGTATTTTCGGCGTTAGCTTAGCGCAGCCACCGCTGAATTCCCCTCCGCAGCCGGCCGGGCCAGTAGAACTGACGCCGCCGTCAATTCCACTCCGCACGTCGTCTCCCCCCGATGGCATGCGCAAGTGCGCAAGCACGAGCGCACTGGCGGATCTCAGCCGCCGCCGCCGCCGCAATTTTGCCGCCTCAGGCGCAGCCGCGCGCTTGCGGCTTCCGCTGTTCCGCGCGGGCGATGGGAGCGTGGGGAACAGTATGGACGAGGATAGCGCAGCTGAAGATGAAGCGGAGGCGGAGGAAGCGGAGGAGGAAGGGGACGCAGGGGGGAAAGCGGGGCGGGATATCCGCGTTTCTCGTGGAGGCGCGCGACAACAGCCGACAGGAGACCCCGAGTCTTCCGCCGGCAGCGCCGGCGGCAGCGCAAGGGAGCGGGGGGAACTAGGCAGAGGCGGTGGGGAAGGAGCGCGACAGGAAGCGGTAGCGGCGCGCAGCGAGGGCTCGAATTGCACGCCGCAACCTGCAGGAAGTGAAATCGCGAACGCGCCGATGAGCGGGCGAGGGGGCGGGGTGGGCGGAAGGGTCGACGGCGGGGGACGGGGAGGCGGCGGCGGCGGGGGCGGAAGCGGAGGGGGGCACATGGGCGGAATCTCTTCGTCTAGGGAGCGGAAGAAGGGGATTGCGTGGACGGAGGAGGAGCATCGGCTGTTCTTGATTGGACTGAGCAAGCTGGGGAAAGGCGACTGGCGGGGGATCTCACGCAAATACGTGACGACGCGCACGCCCACGCAGGTGGCGAGCCACGCGCAGAAGTATTTCATCCGCCAGAGCAACCTCAACAAGCGGAAGCGGCGGTCGAGCCTGTTCGATATAAGCACAGACGTGGTACGTGATCGACTGCGCTCATCGCTCTCGTATGAGTCCCAATCTGTTAACTCGCTTTTCGCTTTCACTCGCTCGCTCTCCTTCATGTCTCGATCCCGTCTTCATATGATTACTCGTCTTTCCCATCGCTCATCTCTCTCGCTTCCCGCCCTCCACCCCGGCCATTCCTCCCCCACTCCCCCGCCGCAGCTAGCGGAGGAGGCGGCGGGCGCAACGGTCATGTCGCGATCTATGAGCACGCCGTCTCTCCCGTCGCTCCGCGACGATCCCAAGTTTCTCCCTTCGGGAGCTTCCGGCGGTCTCACCGCCGTTTCTTCCGCCGCCGCCATCTCCGCGCTTTCCCCCTCCGCCTCCGCTCTCGCCTCCCCGCAATCGCTCTCCCACCACGCGCTGCATCAGGCGCTTCCGCACGCGCGCGCATTTTCCCGCCCGTACCAGCTCCCCAATACCGCGCAAACCCTTCCCCCGCCCTCCTACAACCCGCACTCCTCTTCCGCCCATCCGTTCGCCTCCGCCTCCTCCCCTTCCGCGCATCCATCCCCGCACCCCTTCGCCCCTTCCGCTTCCGCGCACGGCTTTCTCGATCTGAGCCGTTGCCAGTCGTACCCCGCAGTTCACATGCTAGAAAGCGGAAGCCCTTACGATAATCCCGCCCTCTCCGCCGCCTCCGCCGCCGCCGCCGCCACCCGTGGCGGCGCACTTTCCGCCGCATTTCCGCCGCTCACGCGTCCCATGTCCCTGCCGTCCCTTCACCCGCCCTCCATCCCCGAGTCTTCCGCCGTTCCGCCGGTTGATCTGGGCCCCGCGCACTACCTCCACTCCGCGCATGGCTTTTCCGCGCATCCGCACTCGCAGCCCCCACATTGGCACCTCCACCCCTCTTCTTCCGCCAATCCCTCCGCCGCTTCCGCCGCCGCCGCGCGCGCTGCTGGGCGCGGGCCGATGGCGCTCGACTGGGCTATGTGCGCCGGTGGCCCCGCAGGCGCGGGGAGTTCCGCCGCCGCCGCTGCAGCGATGGGGCGCCAGGGGGGAGACACGGGCACGGGTGTTGTCCCTGGGGCGGGGGGCGCGGGCGCGGGGCTCGGCGCGCTTGCAGACGCGGCAGCAGCGCGGCACAGGATTGGGCATGAGATGATGATGCAGATGGGGCACGAAGCGACGGTCCAGATCGGCCATGAGCTTGCGCAACGGATGGCCAGGATGAGCCAGGCTGCCGAACGAGCAGGGGCGGATGGGGGCGGTCCGATGCTGCTGGGGGGGAGCAGCAACGTGGAGAAGAAGACAAAACTCGAGAGTGGCATGGGTTTTCCTAGTAGTGCTGGTGCTGTGGCTGGCGGAAATGCTGCTGCTCCTGGTGGGACTGGTGGGGCTGGGGCTGTCGGTTCTGCTGCTGCGGCCGCTGCGGCGGCAGCAGCTGGTGGTGGCTCTGCTTTCTCCCCTTTCCGATCCGGAATGCCAGCTTCTGGTCCTGCTGCTGCTGCTGCTGCTGCTGCTGCTGCTGCTGCTGCTGCAGGTGCTGCATCGGCATATCTCTCCACCTCTCCACCCTCCACCTACCCGTACGGTCCCCTCTCGTCCTCTCCCCCCACCGGCTACTCCTACTCCTCCTTCCTCTGGCCTAGAACCACGTCGCACTTCCCGTCTCCTGCCTCTGCCGCTGCCGCGGCTGCAGCAGCAGCAGCACAGCAAGCAGCTTTCACTGCTTCTACCCCTGCCTCTGCCTCTGCCTCTATGCCTGCCCCGGGTGGTGCCGCTGCGGGTCCTTCGGGAGGTGCTGCTGCTACTGGCCCTTGGCATGTGTCTGGTGGGCAGGAAACAGCTGCTCAGAATAGCCTTTCCCAGCCGCCGCTGATGTCGAATGCTTCTTCTGGTGTGATTGCTGCTGGTGGTGTTCCTGCTGCTGCTGCTGCTGCTGCTGCTGCCGGTGCTGGTGGTGCTGCTACTGCTGAAAATTGCTCTGTACCCACTACTACACTGCAGCTTTTTGACACAAGTCCCAAGGATCTGGCTATTGAGGTAAAACGGCCATCAGCAGTGGCTGCTGCCGCAGCAGCTGCATCTGTTGCTGTCACGGCAGCAGCTAGACTTGCTGCGTCTGCCTCCCCTGAACCTACAAGTGACGTCAAGGCACCGATAAGTGTGCAATGATAATTGGAAGTTGGTGCATTTTTTTCTCCCTTTCTGGTGTAGGCTATTGAGCCAATACGTGTTTTGTGTTGTGCAACCGCCACTGGCATAAGTGTGGTTGTTGATTGTAATCATGCCTTTTTGGCATTTAGACTTATTACAAAGCATTTCCTGTACCGATGCAGATGTTCACCCGCTGTAGAGCCTTACAGAAAATGTGTCAGAAGAATCGTCATAGCGAGGAGAAATTGGAGATTTCTCAAGCATGCTCGTGTCGTCGTGGGGCTGTAATTCCGTGAGTGAAATACAGAAGCTGTAATTCTTCTTATCAGGTACACCACCACCACAAGGCGTGGCGATTACGCCATTGAAGTCGTCGCGTCTCACATCCGTTCGTTCCCGATCCGTGAGCTGCTTGGTATTCGTGAGCTGCTGCTGGTTTCTCTTTCGATCGTCTAGGATTCCGTTAGTGACCAGATTCAGATGACGGTAACAATGCGTGAGAAGGGAGAAACTTCGTCTTGAGTCTGATCCATTGTTGCTTATCGCGACGCGACCGATGAATCATGGACGTTGATCCAGTCGTTGAGCTATATTATAAGAATCGTAGAGTGAACGTTCTATACTGTACGAGCTATACTTTTGTGAATAATGGACGTTGAGCCACCAGCAGCTGAGCTTCATGACCAGGAGGAACGGACGTCATTTGAGAAACGGACGATTCAGGATCTGGGGTCTCAGTTCCCGCTTTGGAGACAGCAATTAGAGTGAGTGAATGAGTCTGTTCGTTTCGCGGATAATGAATCTTGGACATTCTGCGAGTTCAGTTCCTGCTCCAGAGACAGCAGCTAGAGTGAGTGAGTCTGCCCGCATCTGACGTATCTGCATTTCACTCGTTCCACTCGTTACTTCGTTCGTCCGCATGCGTTATGTATGATTGTGAAGTGACGTTGAGAATATACCATCATCTTGATCGTTACCATGCATGGTCACGACTGCATGTGTCGCTAGGTCACAAAACTCACCGTCAGGCTTTCAGATCGTATGATTCATTCTTCCTTACGAATTAGTTTCGTCCAATAGTTTCGTTCAGAACCACAGAGCCACCAGAGGACGACCTTATCAATCAACGGCTGTGATTGTCCCATTGGCTTGTGTCCTTTCAGGGACGGATTCTCGCTCCTTTTCTATGGCCTCGGCTCCAAGCACGCGCTGGTCACAGCGTTCGCATCGGAGAGCCTAGCGGACAAGACAGTCGTCACCATCAATGGTGCCGATGCCAACACCACCCCTGCTCGGGTAAGTCCACCAGTCTCTATTCCTGGAGTCAAGCACGCCCTGCTCACCACATTTGCATTGGACAGTCTAGCGGACAAGACAGTCGTCACCATCAATGGCGCCGATGCCAACACCACCCCTGCAGGGGTGAGTGCCACGTCCACCAGTCGTTATCCTTGGATTTTAGTTCCAAGTAAATCTGCTCGTACTCCTCACCCTGCTCACGGCATTCCCGTCGGAGTGTCTAGCGGACATTGGAAAGGCTGTCGTAACCATCAACGGGACTACCACTATGCCATCCCTGATTACATTCACTGTTGCCTGCTTGTATCCCTAGTGTCTTTCGCTGATGTTCCGTTGTCTTACTTTCGCTTGGCACTCTTGTCTCGTGTGTGCTGTGCATGCTTCCACAAGCAGAAGGGTCAATGACATGCTGACCGGCTATTGGTTCGCCGGTTCCCGAACCGAATTTTCGGCATTTGGTGATGCATGTGCATGAACTCGTGAATGCGTGCATATTGGAGATGCGGGTATTATCATACATGCGGTGCGGGTATGATGGATGTGAACGCATGCATGTATGGTGACGTGTCGTCTCCAGATGGCAGCTGCAATCGCCTCGTCTTGTCAACCTGACACATCAACCAAAGGTCGGAAAGGGCCTGCCATGTCGTCAGCATCCGCTGCTGAGCTGGCACGGTGGATTTTGGATCTTGCGACCGAGCAGCAGCAGAAGCAGCAACAACAGCGGCAGAGGAAGCAGCGCCAGGTGTCAAAACAGCGTCAGCAAGGGAAGCAGCAGGGGCAAACCCTTGGGCGGGACGACAGCTGTAGCAGAGAGACTGCCAGTCCGTGGCTGTGCATTGCGGTTCACAATCTGGATGCTGCTCCCATGAGAGCGTCACCTGCATGCATCTCCCTGCTCGCCCTCCTTGCCGCCTGCCCTGCCATCGCTGTCATCGCCTCTGTCGACCATGTGCTCTCCTCCGCTTGTGAGTAGGCAGGGTATGGCGTTTGGGCAGCTGTAGCACAGAAAATGCTCTTCCCCTGCATGTATCTCCGTGCATCTCCCTGCTCGCCTTCCTTGCCGCCTACCTTGCCATCGCCGTTGTCGCCTCTGTCGACCACTTGCTCTCCTCTTCATGCGAGTTGGTATTTGGGTATTATACTCAGATGTTGCTCTCTGTCATGCACTCCGGTCTTCCCGTGCTCCTTCCCATGTGCCCATCCCCATTCATAATCACACATGCTCCTTCCACCCCATGAGCTCATCGTCCTTCACATATACCCCCATGCTCCCATCCCCACCACAACTGCAGTGTTTGACCGTCAGACCCTCTCCCTCTTCAACTTCGCCACCCATCACGTGGTGACACGTGGCGCCTACACCAAGGAGGCGTCCGCCTTCTCCCCCGCCACTCTCTCCCACACGCCCTCCGCCTCTGCTGCAGCACAGGCCGCCCTGCTGGTCCTCCGCAGCCTCCCCCCCAACGCCTGCCAGATATTCACCCTCATAGCACAGCCGTTTCTGTCTAGTGCTGGTGGTGGTAAAGGGAGAGGTAGTGGTGGCGGTTCTGGTGGTGATGGGAGGGACGGCGATGGGGAGGAGGAAGGCGGTGGATCAGGCCAGAAGAATCAGCCTCAAGGTGCCTTTTCTCCCTGCCCTTTCGCTTTCCCTGCCTCTGTTGTCCCTGCCCCTCCGTCCCCCCTGCTCCCTCGCGGTTCCCTTCACATCTTCACTCGATCTGTTTCTTTCCGCTTGCATCAATTGCACCTATTGCATTGGTGCACAAAAACGCACTCGTGTTTGCATCATGTGACGTGTCGGTTTCTAGCGAGGTAACCAGTGTCCTGCTCCTCTCCTTCTCCACTCTTTCAATCTGTCATTGTGCCTGTTTTTCTCCAGCCCTGCCCTTCGCCCAGCTCTACTCCCTCTGTCGAGCGCGCTTTCTGGTTACCAGCGAGGTAACGCTGCGGGCGCATTTGAGGGAGTTTGAGGACCACGCTTTGGTGAGAACATTCAGGCAGGCGGATGGCACAGAGAGCGTGGGGCTGCTGCTGCCTGTCCCGGCACTCGCCCAAGTCATGGAGCAGCTGGGGGGGAAATGACAGCAGTTCTCAGGGTGCTTGATAATATGTATTTCGGGCGCAGCAAAGAGGATTTGAGGACCACGCTTTGGTGAGGGTGTTCAGGCAGGCGGATGGCATGGCACGGAGAGCGTGGGGCTGCTGCTGCCTGTGGGCGCACTCACTCGTGTAATGGAGCAGTCGGGTGGGAAATGATAGGCTGGTGCTTCCTGGTTTGAATCGTCCCGAACTCGAGTGATACCGTACAAGCAACTGGGCGGGAAATGATGGGCTGGTGGTGTTTCCCGCCACAACGTTCTGAGCACCTGAGGGGTTTTGAGGGCCACGTTCTGGTGAGGTTGTTCACACAGGTGGATGGCACGGACAGGAGAATGTGGGGCTGCTGCTGCATGTACGAGCTCGTGACTTGTGTAAAGGAGCAGCTAGGTTTGAAGCGTCAGGCTGATGCTGCCTGGTCTGAGAATAATTAGAAGGTGCCAGTCAATGCTGAATTTCGCAGAAGAGATGGGAAACACAGTTAAGTGGATTGCCAAGAAGTGGAAATACATTAGCAATGCTACAATACTACCCTAAAATACTAAATATGCTGCAAGCCAATCATAGCCACCCTGACAGCTCTTCTTGCAAGTGCCTTCTTTGGCCAGTTCATATCCAGAAACTGGCATTTCGACAGGGAGTGATACTTTTGGCTTCTTTTCTATGTTCTCAAATTTTATTAATTGGCCAGCCATTCGGCTAGCCCATTGCCAAGCTTTAGGAAAAAAGGGAAATCCCTGTGTGCATCATCACCCTCCTCTCATTGGCCTCCTCTCATCGCCCTCCTCTAATTGCCCTCCTCTAATTGCCCTCCTCTCATTGGCCTCCTCTCATCGCCCTCCTCTCAGCAGCAGGTCTTCAATCCTCTTGACGTCAGCAGGCACGTCCACCCCGTGCGCTGAATGCGCCACCTTCACCACCTGCACAGGCACACGCACAGCGCAGATTGGTAAGACACATAGGCACGGCACAGAGGCACAGAGGCAGGCCGTGCACGCAGCCAGTAGGAATTTGCAATCTGAATTAGCAGGCACGTCCACCCCGTGAGCTGAATGCGCCACCTTCACCACCGCATGACAACCCACCTTGACCTTGCACCCCTGCTCCAGTATCCGCAGCTGCTCCAGCTGCTCCTCCTCCTCCAGCCTCCCTGCCTCACTCGCCTTGTACCGTGCTAGGAAGGCCGCATCGTATGCCTGTGTGGGGGGGTGTGCAAGGGGGTCACAAGGGAGAGAGAGGTTGGAGAGAGAGGAGAGGGGAGAAGAGAGAGAGAGAGAGAGGGGAGAAGAGAGAGAGAGAGAGAGGGGGAAATCAAGTGGGTGAAAGGAGAGAGAGAAGAGGACAAGTAGAGTCCTTGCATGCCTAGGTGCAGCATGTATGGGAAAAGAGGGAAGGTGTGTGTGGGAGGGGGGGGCGGGTTGAGGGGGAGGGGGAGAGAATAGGGGGTGAAAGGAGAAAGAGACTGGGGTAAGTAGGGTACTTGTAGGCCCAGGTGCATTATGTATGGGTAAAAGAGCGAGGGTTGGTGTGGGAGGAGAGAGAAGGGGAGTTGGGGTTAAGAGAGGGGGGAAAGTAGAGTACCTGCAGGCCCAGGTGCAGCATGTATGGGAAGCCGGGATGAGGCACACCGTCCCTGCAATGGTATGGCAGAGGCATTGTGAGAGAAATACACACGAAGGGTGCAGTTCTGCAAATGTTTGAAAGCACAGGCGGACTGGGATTGGGATAATGAACCCTTTCAAGGAGGATAATGAACCCTTTCAAGGAGGATAATGAAACGTTCTTGACAAGGTTCAAATCCTCCTTGACAGCTCACCTGTTGTGGTGTGGGGAATGAGCGCCCATGAGAAGTAGAGTGCAAAGCCTCTAATTCCCTGCTCACAACACGCAAGTGCTGTGAGGGCCTTACTTCCCTGCTCCTCACCTCACCACCACTCACCTGTTGTTCACATGCTGCTGACAGCCCACCTGTTGTGGGGAATGAGCGCCCGTGAGAAGTAGAGTGCAAAGCCCCCTCGACCATGCACGCAACCTGCAATGCAACTGCTGTGAGGACCCTACTTCCCTGCTCCTCACCACCACTCACCTGTTGTTCACATGCTGCTGACAGCTCACCTGTTGTGGGGAATGAGCGCCCGTGAGAAGTAGAGGGCAAAGCCGCGGCTGTCCACCACGCATTTGACTCGGTTGGGATCGGGCGCCGCTGATGCTTTTATGTCTGCCACTGCTGTCGCTGCCACTGCCTCGGGCGCTTCCTGTGAAGTACGTTGGAAGAAGGTGGGAAACAGGTAGTGATGGAATCAGATGGGTGACGGTGGTTTGAGCAGTCTCGTATCTTCCCCGGCTGTCCACCACACATTTGACTCGGTTGGGATCAGGCACCGCTGATGCTTTTATGTCTGCCACTGCTGTCGCTGCCACCGCCTCGGGTGCTTCCTGTGAGTGAAGATGGGTGGTGGTGGTTTGGGCGTCAAGGGTATCAAAAATTGAACAGGTATTGGTGATGGGTTTGGATGTGTGATGGTGGTTTGGGTGGTCTCATATTTGCCCTTGCCCCGGCTGTGCACCACACACTTGACTCGGTTTGGGTCCGGCACTGATGATGCTTCTATATCAACTACTGTTGTCGCTGCCACTGCCTCGGGTGCTTCCTGTGAAAGGTGGGCAGGTGTATGAGGGTGTACGAGGGTGTGTGAGGGTGTACGAGGTTGTGTGACGGTGTGTTCATAGAGAACACAGCAGTCCTACTTCTTGCATGTGACTGACCTTGAGCTGCCATTATTGCCGCACTGCCCCACTTCCCCACAGTATCAGCTACAGCACAATTACCTGTAGGGCTATAACAACTGCATCAATTGTCGCCGGGTCGATGAGAGGCTCATCCCCTTGAATGTTCACCACCACGTCCCACTGCCCCTTTGAGCTACACCACTGCCCTATGAACGATATAGCGCAGTTACCTGTAATGCAATGACAACCGCGTCTATAGTAGCCGGGTCAATAAGCGGCTCGTCGCCTTGAATGTTCACCACCACGCCCCACTGCCCCTTGAGCTCCCCCACTGTCCCATCTGCTTCCCCACTGCTCTATTGTTTCAAAGTTGTAGCTAAATACACAGAGCACTCACCTGCAATGCTATAACCACGGCATCAATCGTGGCCGGGTCGATGAGAGGCTCGTCGCCCAGAATGTTGACCACCACGTCCCACTGCCCCTTGAGACTCTCCACTGCCCTTTGAACTTCGCAGCGCAGTTACCTGAAGTGCAATGACAACGGCATCTATGGTAGCCGGGTCGATGAGAGGCTCGTCGCCCTGAATGTTGACCACCACGTCCCACTGCCCCTTGAGCCTCTCCACTGCCTCGGCACACCGCTCCGAACCTGCCGGGTTGGTTCGGAAGAGCGAGGGTCGCAATGTTAGGGCGTTTGAGCGTTTGTGTGATTACCATAAGCGTGTGATGCTTCCACGATACTTTCATGATACGTCCATTGGCACGCAGGTGCAATCGGCTAAAACACCCATGGCCCCATGCTCAACATTACCGTTTCCACAAGCTGCTGACGTCATGACGACCTCAGCACCGAATCCCTGGCAGCAGCTAGCAATTCTCTCGTCGTCCGTCGCAACGACTGCAGTGGGTTTAGGAGTGAGACATGGAAGAAGGAGTGTATTAAGACGTCTCGGAACACTCTTTTTTTCAAGTCGGTTGCGACCAATGCAGTGGGAGGGGAGGGAAGGAGTGAGGCGAGGAGCAGGGGAACGGAATGCAGGCACGCAGGAAGCGAGGGTAGAAGGGAAGGGAAGAAAGAGGGACACACACACACACAACCACACACACACGGACACACACACACAAACACACACACACACACACACACACACACACACACACACACACACGCACGCCCGCACCCGCACGCACGCACACACGCACAGGAGCAAGGCAGGCAAAGAAACAGGGACCGAGGAGAGAAGGTTAAGGGGCGGCGCCAGCTGAGAGCCCCTCATTGCTGGGGCTTCGTCCCCTCTCCTTTACTCCCCTCCCTTTCCCCACCCCTTTACTCCCCTCCCCTTTACTCCCCTCCCTTTCCCCACCCCCCGCCTTTCCCTCCCTTCCCCTTTACTTCCCTCCCTTTACCCAACCCCCGCCTTTCCCTCCCCTCCTCTTTACTTCCCTCCCTTTCCCCACCCTCCGCCTTTCCCTCCCCTCCTCTTTACTTCCCTCCCTTCCCTCCCACCACCTTCCCCCACTTCCCTCCCTCCCACGTACCCACTCGATCGAGCGTTTGAGCGAGTTTTGCACGCTCCCACGTGTGCTGTGAGCAGGAGCAAGGGGGGAAACGGGAGGAATGATAAGGGGGGGAATGGGGATTGGGGAAGGAGGGGGAGGTAAGAAAGAGTGTGAGCGAGTTTTGCACGCTCCCACGTGTGCTGTGAGCAGGAGCAAGGGGGGAAACGGGAACCCATCACAGGAGTTGGGGTGAAGTGGGAGAGTGGGGGAGGGTGGAGAAGCGGGGGGCGAAAGGGGGAAAAAGCGGAAAGAGGGGGAGGGGGATGGGGGATGGGACGTGGGGCGGTCTGTTTTGTTGAGGGACGAAAGGAAGGGTACATCCGATAAGGTGGAAGAGAGGGAGAAAGGGAGGGAAACGACAGGAGAGAGGGTGTGTGTGATGACAGGGGGGAGGGGGGGGGGGGGGGGGGGGGGGGGGGTGGCAATGGGGCTCGGGGGTAAGGGGAAGGAAAGGGGTGAGGGTTTAAGTAAAGCAAGAACAAGGCGAGGAGAGAAGTGGTTGGTAGTAACGGGAGGACCCACTCACACCTCTCCCCTCTCCCCTCGTCCCCTCTCACCTTCGCTCCCTCTCCCTTTCTTTCCCCGCTGTCCCTTACCCTTTCCAACCATATCCCCCTCTCCCCCTCTTCCCCGTCTCCCCCTCTCCCCCTCTCACCCTCTCCCCTTCTCCCCCTCTTCCCCCTCTCCCCCTCTCACCCTCTCCCCCTCTCCCCCTCTCCCCCTCTTCCCCCTCTCCATCTCCCCCTCTCTCCTTCTCCCCCTCTTCCCCATCTCTCCCCCATGAAATCGCTCTACCTGGATCATTGGTCGCCCCGCAATCAACGCTAGCGGCTTCCCCACGAACCGCGACGACGCGAATCGCGCGGGGATGATTCCGATCACGCGGCGCCGCCGTTTCTTTCGCGACGCGCCTATCGCGGCCCGAATCGCGAGCGCCGTCCCGCCCACCGCAATCACCGCTGCAGCGGTAATCGCGGCAGCGGTGGCTGCTTTTCCAGCTAGTCTGTACCCTTGGGGTAAATAAGATACTATCGAGTCTAAATATCCCGAATCGGAAGCATCAGCTTCGGCTTTAACGCGTCCGACGAGCCGCTCCGCATGGTCTTTAATCCCGCGCGCCGCGGAGGCCACCCATTTCAGCGCAGCATTTGAAGAGGCCTCTGATGAGTCCGGTATTCTCGATACCGCGTTGTCGGAACCGGAATCTGTGTTGGGATTTGATGTCGTTTCTTTAGCTTCTGCTGCTGCCACTGGTACGGGGGAGAAGAGTAGACGGCACGCGATTACGGCTGCCGCTGCCGCGCCGGCAGTCGTGACGGCGACCGCTAACGACCCGGCCGATCCTGACGGATACATTCTGATAACTGACAATCAGTAGATTGCGAATAAGTGCACCAGCGACAGGCGCACAATTTGAAGGCGACGGACGGCGAAACACGAACGGAAAGAGTTCGCCGGATACCCAACTGGTCCGGCCTGGCCTGACGTGATCCAGTTCAAAGTATTATAGCTTGAAAGGCGCGTTACCCAGTATACACTGGAAGTCTCGGGTTGGCAGAGCTTTCTGAGAGCGGGGGAAGGTCGTGCGGAAAAGTGCCTCGCAGCATGATGAGTGGGGGGGAAGCTGGGGAGGGCTTGCGGAAAAGCACCGCACCACAGCATGAAGGGGTGGCCAGGCATCAAACTTGAAACTTCAACTCAAAACTACTCAAACTCAGCAATCTCTCGCACTAGGCTAGGTTACTACTAACTTGAAGTGCCTTCCCGTAGGGCTTCTTGAGAGCCATTCGCCCCAGATCTATCGCTCTTCTTCGCCTCTTAGTGTGCGCTCGAATATCTGCGCTATTTCGTACCCCAAAAAACACCACCGCGGCTGTACCCGTAGCGCATTGCGCGCGATTTCCTCCGCGGTATTCGTTCTGTAGTCCCTCTCCCGTCCCTCTATTTCTCACGAATCGGCGGTGGCAAGCAGCGACGTGGTGAAGGGAAGTAGTTGGGAGCGACGTGGTGGCAGGCAGGATTGGGTGCGACAGCAGCCAGCGGGGCGACGATACTGAGCATAGCGGCGACGGTAGCGAGCAGCATGGCGACAACAGCGCAATGACGATAGTGAGCTGCGATGGCGACAGTAGCGAGCAGCGGGGTGACGTCTGCGTGCAGCAGGGCGACGTTAGCGAGCAGCGGGATGTCGTTAGCGAGCAGCGGGGCAAAGCATCTGTTCCGACGGTCCCTAAGCATCACGCGTCCAAACCTCGCAAGCGGATTTAGCGAGCGAGATTGGTAGCGATGCGGCGAAGGCAAGGGGATGTGTGTGGCAAACGCAATGGCGGCAAGAAACTGCAAGCACGATGGCGACAGGGCCGGAATGGGTGAGAAGGACAGGGGGAAAGGGTGGGAAGAACAGCGATCGATGGTCGGAATAGGTGCTACTGTGGCGAGCATCGCCTGAGGTCGATGCACAGCTCGGTCACGAGACGACATGGTCCGGCTAGTTGCGCACGTGACAGCGAGCAGCGGCGCGACAGTGGCGAGCGGTGGCGAGCGTTAGCGAGTGGCGGGCGAGGCGGGAGCGTGCAGCGACATGCTATAGGCCCCTGCCCTTCTTTCCCTTTCCCCCACTCCTTCTATCCCTTCCCCCCTGTCCTTCCTCCTTTCCTCCATGTCCTTCCCACCCTTTCCCCCTGTCATTCTCTCCCTTTCCCCTTAGTCCTTCCCTCCCTTTCATCGTTTTCGTTCCTCCTGATGCTTAATCCTCCCCCCTGTTCTTTCTTCCCTGTCCCCCTATCCTTCCCTCCCCTTCTTCTCCCTCCCTCCTTTCCCCTCTCCCAACCCACTGCTTCGCCCTGCTCTCATCCGTCCCCTTGCCCCCATTCGTCCCTTTTCCCCCACTACCGTCGCTGCTTTTCCTGCTCATTTCCCCCTTTCCTGAACCCTTCCTTTTCCTCTCTCACATCCCTTCCCGTTCCCACAATCCCATCCCACCATTCACTCTTCTGATGGCCATCCCTTTCCCTCCTCTCCTGTCCCTCCCCTGTCCTATCCCATTCCCCCTGTCGCTTTCTCCTTCCCCTGTCCTATCCCATTCCTGTCCTAGTTCAAGCGTGAGAGATTGACCCAAAGCACTATTCACTATTCAGCCCCCCCCCCCCCGCTGCTCCCCCCTGCACCCATTCGTCCCCTTGTCCCCTCACCCAACCCTCGCTTTTTCGCACTCCCATCCGTCGTTTTCCCCCTTGTTTGTTCCAGGGCATTCCCCCCTGCCACCATCCCCCATGGCACATCCTCCTATGCCACACCTTCAGTTTCACGCCTCCCCATTCCCGAACTCCCCTTGTCCGTCGGTCCCTTGGCGTCTTGCCCTTCCCTGCAGGCAGCAAAGGCGCGACGGTAGCAAGCGGCTCGCTCTCACTGTCTCTCCACCACCAATCCTCCTCTCCCCCACTCCCGCCGTCCCTCCTTTCCCCCGTTACCATTCAAACCTTCCCCCCGTCCCCGTCCCTCCTTCCATCGGTGTCCGTCCCTCCTTCCCCCACCATCCACCCTTTACCCTACCCTTGTCCTTTCAAGGCATCCCCCGATTCCTAAACCCTTCCTTTCCCTTTCTCCCATCCCTTCCCTTTCCCCCTATTCAGTCCCACCATTCACCCCTCTCCCGGCCATCCCTTTCCCCCCTCTCCTGTCCCTCCCCATTCCCCTCATCCGACCCTTCCCTTTCCACTATGACCCCACGGTGGCAGGCGTGACGACATCCAACCCTCTGCTCCACCGCTCCCAACTCCACTGCTTCCCTTCACCCACCCCGCTGCTTCCCTTCACCCACCCAACTACTTCCCTTCACCCACCCCATCACTTTGTGTCGTCGCGCACCCCACTGTTTCTGCCAACCCTCCATTCAATTTCCCCATCAAACATTTTTCACTTCTTCGGCTGGTGTCCTTCCCTACCCCCCTCCCGCCCTGCTATCGGTGGACAGCTGCATCAATAATGGATCAGAGGGGTGTGAAGTCTGGCTCATCTTGGAGATGCCATGTAGGATTTAAAGACACTCATGTTTGCCTGCCATGTGTACATTCGTTGCACCCAAAAAGAAAAGGGAAACAACCACCCCAAACTTTGATCGTTATGAAATCCTCAAATGTGCCTTTGAGTCGCAGAATATGATATTTGTGTGGTACTCAGCTTATTTTAAATACAAACTCTTTCGTTATGCAATGTAGAGATGACGGCATACTCATGGGTTTCGAATTTCGCGTTGTCGTGTGTGTTCCCCCCTTCCCTCCCCCCCACCCCTTCCCCTTCCCCCTCACTTTCGAGGTTGGCGACGTTCGCATCAGTTGTTTCCTTTTTCTCTTCATCGCAACACAATCTACTCTCTCGCTAGCCAATTGGCGACCAGGAAGGAACAAGACAAAAAACTGTTTGTCACTGTTCCTAAGATATCTGCACCGCGGCTTTAAGATGCCAAAGCTGTCCATGTATTTTTGCCGAGAATGTCAAACCTCTGAATTCTTCCTTTTACACGTCTTAATGGGAGCTGGATTTTCATAAATTTCTAATATTTGTGTGACTACGTGATTTGTGATTAGGCGGGGGACTTGGTACGGTACTTGATACTCTTTCTCAAGGGACATGTCCTGGGCGGAATGTACCCTAAGTTGCAATGCCAACCCACGGACATGTGTAATGTACTACCTGCAGTGCTCATACCACCACCATGTCTGCAGCAGGTATTTATGGCACATGCCCAAGGAACGAGTGTTATACTAGTCCAAGGGAATAGATAGTCTGGTCTGAATTGGGTTGAACGGCTGTGCACAATTCAGGAAGAGAAGGTTCCGAGAGAAGCGTGGATGTACACCTTTGGAGAAACCATAACTAGCATCACATCACAAGCAACCAACCCCAGTACCATGCTGTTGAAAGGAAATGGTATAACTTTATTGTTGAACTAGGCGTAAAAACACAGAAAATTGTATCCTATCATACACCAAGGGGTCTCTATTTCTTGCCGAAGAGCCCGAACACACTGGTGAGTGCCTTGATGGCATTCTCGTTGATGATTGGCTCGTCATACCTGTCCATGAGCTCATCAAACTCGTCATCGTCTCTTAGGAACGACAGGTCAGGGTCTTGACGGATTTTCTGGAAACGTAAGGTAGAGAAAGGTAGGAAAAGCAGATTAAGGCTCAGCTAATTGCAGTGCAAAAGCACTCATGGTTCTACGTCGAGGTAGCCACACTGGAGCATGCTATTTGACAACTTCCTTTACCACTCTTACACCACGTGAGCTTAAAATCCCCAAGGGGAACGTGTGCTGTGTTATCCCGGCCGGCTCTACACCCATCAAATCTTGCTTTCTTCTCTCAGCGACATGCTCTCACGATCTTTACTTGCCACTATCTCATCTCCGCGTCTCACCTTGTAGTCATCGAAGCCAGCCTCCATCGCCGCCTCTAGAGCCTGCAGGCCGCCCTCAACCTGCAGCCAGGGGAGAGGAACGGATAACACAAAGGCTAAGGATGAGCCACGAAGAGCGGGGGAGTAGGGATCGAAGTGGTCGAGTGCGTAGAGTAATGTCAGAGGTTCACTGTGAGTCACTGATGGCATCGCACTGTGTCAGTTTGGTGTACCAGTGATCCCGGTTATGGATAGCGCAGTTCACTAGTCAGAAGAGCATCTTTCGCAACCTGCGAAGTGCTCGCTGCAATGCACCCTCCTTTGCGGGAATTCAACTCCAGGCGGGCGTCAACCCAGACCGATTCGTACCACGCGCAATGACTTCGCGCAGGCAAAGGTTCTTCAATTGAAACCTTAGCTACGAAAGCACAGCACAAACTTTCCAAGGAGCCTAACCCAAGAATCCTCACCTTCTTAAGCTTGGAGCAGCAGCACGCGATGTTGTAGAACGCCACCGCCTCCTCCCGGTACGACGGCACTAGCCCGATGATCGTCTGAAACTTCAGCATGGCCTCCTCGTACTTGCCCGCCCTGCCACGTGGCGCAGCCAAACACAGGATTTCGAGATACGATTGAGCCCGGCCAATTTTCTCACCCCAAGTTACTGGGTTGGTGCAGAAGCAAGTAGTTCATGCCAAAATATCATTGCTCAGGATGGAATCAGAAACATAAGGAGGATCATGCATTGCCGCTTAAGGCTTACTTGTAGAGCTGAAGACCTTTGTCGAGAGCAGCGACGCGCTCTTCGGCCTGCTCTTGCCGGAGCGCCGCATTCTCCATCTGCTTCTCGCGGATAGCATCGCCGTAGTTGCCGGCCGCTCGCTCTTCCAGGTACTTGTCCTTCTTCCACGGACCAATCTTTTGCCCTGCGGTAACAGAACAACAAAATATTGGTTCAGGTAAGAAGAAGCATAATTCAGTGACGATATACAGAGAATTATTGTTCAGTTATAACGGCAGCAAAGAATCACCAGACGATTGATTTGAACGATGTGTCAACGTTGCATTGTCGTGCCACCGAGCGGCGAGCATATCCACGAAACCGATCCAATCACTGAACCTTAACGTAACAAAAAAAGAAAAAACTCACCGTCCATTTTCTCGAGGCGGACGAGGAGAGTGCCGACGCGCTGCCTGACGGTGTACATGACGCGGCTGTACTCCGCAGCGGGCCACATCTCGCTGCCGAACACGGCGCTCGTCGCCAGAACCTTATCGCCCTCCTGGATCTGCTTGCTCAGAATCCCCGATTGCCCGGGGTACAGCGCGTCGATGTAGATCGCGCCGTCCTCGCCGCGGTAGAATTTGAGGCCGTACGGCCGCTCCAGCTCCACCTCGATGATCTCCCCTGCGCGAACCTGCACGGCGCCGGCTTTCGCGGCGGGAGATGCGGCGGCGCGTGTGGTGGCTTTCAATGTGGGGAGGCGAGCGCCCTGGAAGAAAGGTGTGGCTGGGCTGGAAGCGGCTGATGACGTGGACATGGAGGAGGGGAGGGAGCGGGGCATGGTAGTCTGCTGCGCCGCTGCTGACGTGGCAGCCGTGCGCGACGCCGATGCGTATGAGGCGACGGAAGCAGCGGCATGGGCAGTGAGGGACGCCATGGCAAGACAATGAGAACGCAGATGAGCTCTTACGGCGGGCTCGTACAGACGTTGATATCACCAGGAATGGCCGTAAGATCAAAACTAGGTGAAAATGGAATGCGATCTTTAGAATAGTATTCCAGCAGTCTATCAGGATTTATGCTAGCAATGCAGCGAATTGCATTGCAAGGTGCTCTGGTGATGCCTGACACTTGGCTGGGAAATTGGATATGTGCAGATAGGTCAGAATTGGAAGGGGGAAGGGAATGCACGATACGAGAATGATTGGTGGATTCTGTGAGGTGCTGAGTTGTCAGGATCCGACGAATCGATGTTCAAGTTTCTAGGAAGGGGGATGCTTCTCTGCTTGGCGGGAATGCTGACTACGGCTTACTGTTCTCCATTGCCCGTCCATCATGGCACAGGGGGTTCTCGCAGATTGTTTGATCCTGGCTGTGAAAGAAGACACGTGGAACGAGGTAAACTGGTGTGAACCGCTGGTACTTGGAGGCTCCACGTCGGTGAAATGCTGGTTCATCAGGTGGTCCGCACCGATTCGAACAACGAAATGGTTGGCGAATTGCGAACGTTATGCAAGCTGAGCCTGAGAACTGAGGTTCGCGCATATTCAACGTGAACTGTAACCAACAACGACGTGTGAGGTTACTCGTCTTCAGTCGTTAACGTCGCGAAGTACAAGAAGGTACAGTCACACCATGTCTCAAAGTCAGACCGCCAGTTTCGTCCATATTGTCAACAACCCCAACCGCATAATTCCCAACACCTGCTCGGTTTCGCAAACAGAAGTCTGATAACCCATTTCTGTGGCGACATTAGTGCAAGTGCAGGGCGTCCTACGCATCCGTTCTGTCGCCTGTTTGCGATCAATATGTATGGGACTTCATTGATTGGATGCACTGCTTGGATTAGGAGTCATTAAGTTTCAAACAATATATTTGTTTTTATTCAATAAATTAATTACAAATAACGAAGTCTAAAGGAACTAGAAATGAACAAGCTCACTGCTCATCTGACCCATCCTCGTAGTACCCACCCTCTTCCAGCCATTCAGGTGCAGTTTCACTCCAAGACCTGGAAGGAACCCCGGTCGTTTGGAAGATGATCTTTTCCAGGCCGGAGAAGAAACCGATAGAATCGAGAAGGGGGTTGCACGCTCCACTCACGATGCAATAATTCGCGTTATAAGGAGGGCGGTGGTGCGCGCCATGCATTTTTCTGGAGACTACGAGGCCGGCGTCTTGGAGAATGGGGACGAATGGAGGGAGGAGTACGCGGGGCGTGTGGGACCAGGCGTGGAAAAGCTGGCTGAACATAACGGAAGCGAGGAAGACACTAAAGAAGATATCTTGCTCGGCCGAATGCGGGAGCACGAAAATGAATGGCAGCGTGGAGAAAAGAATCGGCTTCGCGAGAGCGTGCAGATTGTTCGCGAATTGTCGCTTGGTGATCGTCCACGGCCGCTTGTGATGGCCCTGAAACGCGTCGATTTGAGGCCCGAAAATCGGCGTCGAACTGTCCCCGTAGTTATCCACTCCAAAATGATACACGCCCGTTCCAAAATCAGCAAGTAAATACGACCCAGCAGCCGCCGCAACTGCACCCAGCACGGCTGTAACACTCGCATCGTCCACTGTGGTAACCACGCCGCGAGCGAACAGTGCGCCGAGGGCCACGCAGGCAGATGCCACCCACGCTCTGTGTTCATTGGTTGAGACGAGGCTCGTGTCCGTCAGGCCCATCGTTTCCATCTTCTGCACCACGGAGTTAATCGCCGCCGCAGTTCCCGCTGCAGGCGAAGCGCTGACGGGTGCTTCAAGCGCCGTGAGCGCGTTCGAGACGACGCGCGGGGACGCGCTTGCGCGGACATCGCGTGGGGGGAGGTTTGCGCGGACGCGGAGAAATGCGCGTAGCGCGGGGGAGAGTCTCGTGGTGGGTGTGGGTTTCGAGCATAGGCGAAGGCCGTGGTGTAGAGCGATTGCGGGCGCCATGATAGCGGTGAAGTTCGAATCCACCCGAGGCAGTGCTAATAATTCGAGAGGAAACTCGACAAATTGGACAAGCAGCAGTCGAGTTTCAGTCGGCAGTGGTGACTGACGAATTGAGAAAAAATGCGGGGGTCGCGGTTGAGATGTTCGTGGCAGCTGAAAGCAATCTTTATCCAATTTGTTTCGTGAATGGCTAGCTGCTTCTGGGAACGAAGTGGCGGTGGTGAGTTCTTGGAGTCTCCCAAGCAGTAGCTACGGCTGTGGCTCTTATTCCTGCCCCTCCCCGTCACATTGCATCTGTCCAGTCCAGCACTCTGTCCCCATGGATTGCTGAGTTGTTGGTGAGTCGTGACACCTGACTCCTGGCTCGTCCCCTCTGGACATAAATGCACCACGCCACGCCGCGCATGGCCCGCATATTTGATGAAAACCCTGCCGCACATTTGTGCTGGGGGAGGGACGAGGGGAAAATGTTTCAGCCGATGTGTCAAATCCTAGGGCGTCGATTTGGGGATTGAAAACCTGCACCGGCATCTGCGGTGGTCGCTGGTGGGTTAGGATCACACGTGTCTGCAAGCCGCGCCACAAGCTCAGCCAATAATACTCCGTCGCCACCCACCACAAGTCGAAAGCCCACTGGTTCTTTCAAGCCAAGCCTGGTACAGAAGTCGGTGTAGCGTGACGTAACAAAGCGACGACAAGATGCATAACGATAACTGTATACAGGCAAACCTTGTAAGTGCTTATTGAGTACCAACTCCATGTATTTGTTGCATACATAACATCTGCAACTATTGCCGCCCTTCAGAAGCCAAGAATGCCTGCACATAGGAACAAGGATTATCATGCCAACAGTCACGCTGGTGATGATGGTTAGTGGTGGTGAAAACGCGAGGGCTGAATATTGAAAGCAGACAAATCATTCAAGGAAAAGGAACATGTTGCTTCCACTTGAAGTACCTGTTGAGCTTGTCGTGAACACTCTACAAACTTGTTCACCACACTTGAGCAAGAGAGCGGGTCCTGGAAACACCAAGGCAAATGCACAATCAACTTGAGCGAAGTGGCGGACTTCAAATGCCAAATCTTGCGATACACAATCCCAAAACAATCAGGATTGTGCAAATTTGTTCTAAACAAAAAGATCTGTCATCACACCTTCATGTTTCTTGTGTAGCATCTTAGGCATTCCTCCCTCTCAGCCTGGCAAGGCACTTCCCGCGACGGTGGTCTGCTTTGTAAAGGTGGGGAGTGGGATTGTGGAGCGAACTTCAAATAGCTCAATTGCCATGGGACAGCTGGAACCTTCACGTCTGCTTGCATTCCTGAGCATTAGAGCCTCAATAACATCCAACACGAAAATCTCGAGAGATGAACAAAGTTGTTTTCACCTGAACTGCTGTGCCTGCAATGCTTGTGCCATGTCGGTGGCACGGGCAACCTCCTCTTGCCGCTCACGAGCAATGTCTGCCCGTAGAGACTTCTGAAGAAGTGGGAAAGGAGGAACCAAAGAAAGTTCCATGACATGAGAGGGAAAGGCAGGAAACAACGAATGGACACAAAAGACAAGTGACGAGACGGCAGAAAATGACAGATCACCCATATCACAGCACTCCTGCAGTGTGATTCAAACATCTCCCACTCCACCCGCATCACCCACTCCACTCACCACTTGCTCCAGAGTCTTCTCCAAGTCCGCTAGTTCCTCCTTTCTCCGCTGCACTCTGTACGCCGCCTCTGCCTCACAGCACTCCTGTTATGTACAGTTTCACCCTGCATCACACATCATCCACACCACCCACACCACCCACATAAACCACTCCACTCACCACTTGCTCCAAAGTCTTCTCCAGGTCTGCAAGCTCCTCCTTTCTCCGCTGCACTCTGTACGCAGCCTCTGCCTCTGCTGCAAACCCCACTCCAGAGGCAGCACCACCACCAGAACCAGCAGCAACAGCCGAATCGGCTACCGCGGAAGCAGCCACAGAAGGGGCAGTTACAGCAGATCCGAAGAACAGCGGATTCAGGCTGGGAGGAAGCGGCGGAGGAGCATGCAGCAGCGCAGACGAAACGCTGCCTCCATCTGCTTGCTTTCTGGAATGCTCCCCTCGGCCCCCCCTCCCTTTCCCCTTCTTTCCCCCTCGCTTCCGCTCGTTATCGCCTGCTTCCTCTGCGAGCATCTTCCGCACAAACTGGTCCGTCACCTGAGGTGGGGCGGCGGCGGGTGGGGAGGAAATGGGCAGTGGTTGGGCAGAGGTTGGAGAAAAAGGCAGTGACATCGCCAAGCAGTGAAGAAATTTAGGGGGAGTATTGAGGCATCGAACCGATCTGCTACGTCACAGAGGGTAGGTCAAACGTGAAACCCAACGGAAAACGTCCATCGGACAAAGACGAGATAATACGTAGATTAGCACCTGAAGCGCCGGCTGCGGTTTATCGGACCCCATGGCTGCGTCGCGTTTTCCGAAACAATGGCGGCGACAGCGTGTGAGCTTAGAAATTTAGGGGAGACGGACCAGAACGTCACAGAGGGCTGATGAGAAATTGCATCGAGACTTGGTATAAACAATCTTAGGTGAAGTTTTTGCTTCAAGAAAGTATTGTAGAGTTGAAAACCACTGCTAGCTGATATCTACACTGAGTCTGCTTTTAGACGGTGCATTCGCGATGAAACAGGCTTCGGTTCGTTCGTTGCGTGTCTCCAGAAGCATATCCCGAAGCATGTGCGATTGGCCCCAAAGCTGGTTTCCGAGCCTAGAGTTTGGTAACCAAGCTTGGAATCTGCTCTGACCTTCTGTCAGTTTCATAATCGGCCGATGCGTTAGGCACGGCTGAATATGCTTCAGTCGAACCTGCTGTTTGGGAAGTCGAGCAATTGAACCTTCGGAAGGCGCAAAACAAGCCCACCCAGACGAATTATGACGTCACATCGTTTGAGGATACTGATTGGCTGTGAGGCGGTGGCTGTTGCGTGCGCGCATTCAGCAACGTGCCATCTATATACACCACGTTTTTGCATGGTGTGTTGCGTTTCCAAATGGTGGGAAGAGGATCAACCATTCACCGCATCTGAACCACACCGAACAATAAGTGGATGAGCACTATGGGGAAAACTCAGAATCGTGGATGCATAGGTGGAGACTATGGCTGATAGCTGAGTGGAATGAGAATCTTGGTTTGTCAGCTTCATAGCAGCCAAGTAGCTGGAAGCTATCAGACACAGGTTGAACAACTGGCTTTCACAACAAGGCGACTCGTGATTCTAGGCAGGATACAAGGGGTATCGCGCGTTACTCTACCTCTGCTACCTGGGGGCTCTTGAGACGAACAAGCGTGTTCGACAATAGATCTGGTTAGCGGTAACCGAGCTATTACCTTTTTGGGTCGCTGTCGAGCAGAGCCACTATGGGGCGACGTGGGAGGCGATCGCAGAACCTGCTCCTCACCTGACACTTAATCTTAGCGAATTCGCCTTTTCCTCGTTACTGCCTTCTTCAGCATACAAGCCGTTGTCGTTAGTTTCATGGGAACCGTGGGTCCTTTCACCAGCAACCTTAGACTAGATAGTTCTCTGGCTGATCAATGGTAGTAATAGTTTCCAGTATCTTTGACTAAATATACGCAGGAATTAAGCTGATAACCTATTGCTGGATAACCCTTTTAGAGATCGATCAAGATGGTTTTCCCAATTCTCAAGCTTGGCGCATTGGCGGTCAAAACGATGAGCAAGCCTTTAGCCAATGCGATCAAGCGGAGAGCAAAGAGCCATCCCAAATTCCGGGGAACCATTATCAACTTTGCTCAGGTCGGTTATTATTCCAGTTTGGCGCATTGCTACCTAGACTTGAAGCTGATTTCCAGTTTTTGCATATGGTTGAAACGGTGACTCATTGATCCCTGACAACTTCCGTAGCAATGTCTCCCCGTGTTAATCGGGTTCCGCACTTGCTCCCACCTTGTGTTTCACTAATTGCATCTCCCGATCTCCTCGTTTCATTGCGCAGAGCTATCATAAGATCAACGTGGGGATGCAGCGCAGACTGTACGGTTACAGCACGAACGTGGACATCAAGCCGCTGATCGAGGAGAAGGCGGTGGAGACTGCAGCAGACCTCGTGGGCGAGCTTGTTGTTTTCGGGGTGAGTCACTCGCTTGTGGTTGTTGTTGGAGTCAGCTGGTGTTGCTGATGACCTTCTTATGAAAGTTTGTGGTTGTTGGGGATGTTTGGTGTTTGGTGGAGTTCTCAAGTACTGGGCGATGGTGCCTTTGTTCTTGCTTGTGTGCTTTGTAAGTGGTTTGTATCGTGAGCTGGGAATTGTTGAGCTTTGTGAGGCTGAAGTGTAGATATACGATTGACGGGTTGTGAAATGACTGAACTGGTTATGTGGTGCTTGTGTGATGAAAGCGTGCTCCTTGTGTAAAGGATAAAATGTGACAGGGGTGTTCCGTTCTCACAGTGGCGTTTATTGTGGGACTCTGTCATGCTGTGGATTGGATTAGCTGGTTCATGTGTTTGGAATGCAATCTCATCTGTTTTTTTTTTGCAGGTGGCTGGCGGCGTTGTTGTTGCAGAGTACACAAGAAGCTCAATAGCTGATTCAAGGAAAGAGGAGAAGAGACGACAGGAGAGGGAGGTGAGTTTTGAAATTCTGTGTTTTTGTCTTAATATGCTTGCATTTTACATGATCGCTTCAGGAAGCTTATTCGATTTCCTGTGTTTCTTCTACTTGTCGTTCGCTGCACCCAGGCTCTTCGTCAGAAAGACCTTGAGCTCGAGCGTGAACTGCAAATGCTTAAGGCACGCTTGGATGCATTGGAGAACGCAGCATCTGACAGCTGGCTTCCGCGCATTCTTCGAGGCAGCAATCTTGGGTTGGGTGGGGGCAACCGCAGCACAAGCAGTCCTGCCCAGAAAGATAGTGAATCAGGGGCAAGTGAAGTGGAGGGAACAGAGATTCATGAGGAGGAGGATGGGTCAGAGGAGACAGAAGAAAAAGAAAGCCACAGCAAGGATGGTTCTAGAAAGAAGTAATAACTGTTAATGTTTATCCTATTCAATGATGCAGTGTTTATATGTATGCGATTGGCGAAGCATAGTGAAGCGATAAGATTGATACTGATGTGCTCTATTGCTTCCCATTTTTTGCACCCAAATACTGGTATGATTTTGATTATTCTCAGTAGTATACCTATCGCGTGTTATATGCATTCGGCCCAATTGTGTTGGAAAAGCGTTGACCAAACCCAAAGCAGCCTACCAATTATATGCATCGGGGACAGCGGTAAGGCCAGTGAGTGTGTACTGTACAGTAAACGTGCTGCCAAATTGCACTGTTTCGCATGTTGTCGGTTTGACAGCCTGGTTGTTGGTGCCATGCTGAGCGTCGTTTTCAAAGCTGCCGAGGCATGATACACCTGAGGGACAGCCAATCCGAGCAAGGCAATGGTGTGTACCAAGTGGTGGTGGCTGGTTCCCCTTTCAACAGACTGAACCAAGATGTCGACTGAGCCAATGGGAGGCTTTGAAAGGTCTGCAACTATTGGCTTGATCATGTTTTTGCGGTCAGTACTGTACGGCGTTTGGTTTGGTAGGCCAGACCGGAAGCTCTGGGTTTGGCACGGCTGGGTACACGAGTAGGACAAACTGACTGATGAAACGAACTACAGTGTCCATAGGCTAGGCTTGGGTTGGGTATGCTGTGGGGAATCGGTGGGTTGGGGGTGCGTTCCCATCTGTACGGCCATTCTTCATGTAGCGAGTATCGACGGTCGAGAGTGCAGTCATTGGGTTTGACGAGCCAATCTCCTTCCTTTTGTGTATGGAGGGAATCGCCTTCCAAGGCTCGAGAGAGTGCTTGTCTGTTCAATAGCTCATCAGAATCCTGAAGTGCTTGTTTCAAGCAAAGTAACTGTAGTCCATGAAGGCATGATACCGTAACCTCAGACTAAATCTACAATAACATCTGGGTAGATGCTAGAGAGTAGTGCACCACTGAGTACATTTGCAATATTTTGTTCCAAAATGGTCTAGCTACATAGAGGATAGATGGAAACAAATCACCCCGTTAACAGGGCCAAAAGTCCCCACAACTTCCTCATCAGCCAACTCTTCACATGTTACAGCACGTAATAATTGCGTAGGTAAGTCATCACAAACAAAGGCATTGGAAGGCATGCACCAATAAATTACCGCAGGCTCACAGCCCACATGCAATATACACAACATCAAGTGAGTAGAACAACACAAGTTTACAGGCAGCACAGCACGATAAATAATCAAGAAATCCCATGCGTATGGACCAATGGGGAAAACTGAAATCAAGAGGAAATACAATAAGAGCAACAGTTGCAAACCTGCAGCTGTAAGAGCTTCAAATTCAAATGGAGCCTCCACTCAGGTGCCGAGAGCAAATGGGGCGATGCAGTATACCATAGCAAAGGAGGTATCTCAAAGCAATCTCATAGCAGCACTAAGAGGAAAAGTTGCAGACGTTGCAGTTGATGGTGCTGTTTGCCGGCTCCCCGCAGGTGCCGGAGAGGGGTGCAATGCGGTAGTTGCACTTCTCGCTCAGCCTGCCAAAGCACGTGACCTGCTTCCACATGGCCGGGCGCGGGTTCAGATAGCAGCAGCCGTCGCACTCCAGATCTGCACGCATCAACATTGGAGTGCGGAAAAAGGGAAGGGGGGAAAGAGAGGGGAGGGAAGGGAAGAGTGGGGAAAGGGGGGAAAGAGAGTTTGGAGATGACAATCTTGTAGAACAGATGGGGAAGGGGATAGCAGGTGCGGAGAGATGGGGCATCAACAGGTAGAGGGATAAAAGTGTCAGCTGGAAGGGAAACGGAGAAACCACGAGAGGGTAGGAAAATTGCCAAGGGATGGTGAAGGGAGAAGGATGAGTTCCATGGAGGGGGATGCTGGAGGGAGAGCATCAGCGGCAATGCGTAAGGAACAACGAGGCAACTATTATCCAAGCCCACGAGAGAGAGAAAGATAGAGATGGAGAGAGAGAGAGAGAGAGAGAGAGAGAGAGAGAGAGAGAGAGAGAGAGAGATGGAGAGAGAGAGATGGAGAGAGAGAGATGGAGAGAGAGAGATATGGAGAGGGAGAGAGAGGGAGGGAGGGCGAGAGGTGGGAGACAGAGGGAGGGGGGAAAATAGGGAGAGAGAGAGAGAGAGAGAGAGAGAGAGAGAGAGAGAGAGAGAGAGAGAGAGAGAGAGAGAGAGAGAGAGGGGGGGGGGGGGGGGGGGGGCGGCGGGGGAGAAAGGCCGGGAGGGGAGGGGGGCGCGGGGAAGTGATATGCATATTGTGTTTGAAGTCGATTGCAAGGCCACCCAAGAAGAGAGACAAGGGTGACCCGAAAAGCGTTGAATGGGGCCAGGTCGGGGCAGGAGTACAGGGAAGCAAGGGTCGAGAAATGGAAGTGACGATTTGAGGCGCGTAAAAAGCAATGACAGACAGAAACGGTGTGTAACACACGCACAAGACAGGCGAATGACGAGCAGTGCTAGGAACATCCACGACACGCGGGCAGCGAACAGCGTAGCACACATCGGTGACAAATCAGGCATGCGGTCGCAAAGCAAGAAAAACCTATCTAGACGGACAGTGCTACAGGAGGAATCGACAATGCCTCGCGGTTCCAGTTTCCGCTCACGGCATGGACTCCCAGCGGTTACAGCGGCGAATCTACACGGCACGCCGCCAATCAGAAGCAGAATCAGGGGAACAAAGTAACGTAAACACTAACCTTTTTGCACGATGTTGCACGAGGAGTCAACCATGTACTCGCAGTTCCCGTTCACGGCGTAGAATCCGAGAGGCGGCAGCGCAGCATCCATGGGACTCGGGAAGTCCTCCTGGAATCCGTTGAACCAGAACGGGGTGAAAGAAACTTCGCCCGTATCCGCGTCCTCGTTATAAGTGCACAGCCAGAAGACGAACCAGCCGTTGTGAAGCGAGTACGGGGATGCGAGAGTATTGGCAGCAGGCAGAACGCCGCCGTAAGTGGTAGCGGCGGAGATGAGCGGGGAATGGTGGAGGAGGAGCAGGAGCGAGAGGATGAGAGGGGTCGCGAGTTTACTAAACCGAGGCGAAGACGGGGGACGGGACAGCGCTAGCTGCGATTGTGAGAAAGCCATAATGCTGACAAGGATATGGCGGATAAGATTCTATAAATGACGAGAACTGAGAGTTTCTAAGAATGCGTTGGACAAGTTACGAAGGGGGTTGCGAGAGCAGGGAATGTTGGGAGTAAAAACGAACACGCGACTAACAGGCACAAGAAGTACCAGAGGATAATGTTTCACCGCTCAACCGAAAGATCTAGGGATGCACTACGCAAGGCTAGCGCGGCTCGGACGACTAACCGGCCTTCAAAAAGGAAGAAAGGGACCAATAGTCGCTTGCGGACCACTAATCTCAAAGACGATTTAACGTTCTGTGGGTGGGAAGGTAAAGTAGAATTCCTAGGGTTCGTTGGAACTCCATCAACCAAGCTCTGTCCAATTCAGCACGGGTGTCTGGACTGGAGTCTGGCTGGACCCTGGACTCTGCTTGCTCTGTTCTGCACTGTCCTTTGGCTCCATTCCCCCAGTGTCCTGTCTGTGCGCACCCAGCCCCCTCCGTGCTGCTTGTTTATGCTGCGCCTGAGCATGCTAGTTCCGCCAAGGAGGGGTCACTTCACCACCGCGCATCGGCGGAGCTGTCTTGGGTAGGGTGGTTCACTGGGGTCGGGGACTCGGGGTTGTGGGGGTTGCGGCGGAGTGGTGCGCGGCGCAGGTGGTGGCGGATTCGGGGGAGGTGCCCCTGCAACCACACGTTAACTTTGTCGTTTAGCGCTCGATGGTCTCGAGGTTAGAGGATACACATTGTTGTCACACCGTGTCCGACCTTTCCACACCGTACAATCCCCCACTGCTTGTTATTCAGAATACTACTTGTGTTGTTAATAATTCACTACCTCCACTTCAAAAGCCTTTTGAACATTCCTTCCTCCTACCAGTATTTACCTGTATCGGTCTGTGGGTACTTAGGCACTTCAGCGATTCTGATTTGAGGTGAAGCATCTGAATTTCAACATCCATCACCTACACAGAGCTATATCATACCACAATGCCCACTACAGAAACTCTCCATAAGGCTCCCTTTTGGCTTATGCAAGAGCTGGAACAACCAGAGCCTCAGCCTCCTTGCCGATAACGGGCTTGAAAAGAGCATCGTCCTCGTCCTTGGGCGTGTGAATGGTAACCTGCGTTGTTTACACATTGTAGAAAATGAAAAAAAAAAGACAATCATCACATAGGATACTCCATGTATGCACCATAGTCACCAAAATGGGGTGATATTAGGTAAAAGGGAGACAAGTGCAAATGCGCCACAGCACTCACCTGGTCGGGCAGAGGGCGGACAACACCGGCCTTGCCACTGGCGTCGTGAGGAAGCATGATCTTCACCTTGATGCCCAGCACTCCCTGATGGATAGAGAGAACGCAAGGGGGGGAGGCGGGAAGCAGGGAAATGTGGGAAGATCGGGAGGGAAAGATTGCGGAATGGAGGGGGGAGGAGAAGGGGAACTCTGCCTGGGCTACAATGGAAATGCAGCATTCTCACCTTGACAGCCAGCACTCCCTAGGCAGAGAAGGGGAGGCGCAGAGGTGAGGAGAGGGCGGAGGGGAAGCATGGCGCACACCTTGCTGGCCGGCTCTCCCTGAGCGCGCTCATCTGGCGCAGCACCTGAACGCACTCACCTGGCGCAGCACCTGAACGCGCTCACCTGGCGCAGCACCTACGCGTGCGGGCTCACCTGGCGCAGCATGACGTGGCGCACGGCGGAGTCGATGTACTCGCGCACGGGCCCACCGGACGAGATCATGTACCCGTCCTTGAACTTCATCGCCTTGGCCCTCTGCGCGCGCAGCTTCCCGCTCACAATCACCTGCGCGGCAGCGGGGAAGCAGGGAGGGATGGAGCCCGGGGGAGGCGGGGGGGGGGGGGGGGGGGGGGGGAGGGCGGGGAGGGAGGGTGGAGTGGGGAACTGAAGCGGGGGACACACTTCAGCATTCTGCCTTTTAGGTCACGAATTAGTCCCCTCGCCACGCCACTCGTCACTCCCGCCATCCTAAGCTTTGCTCAAATTCTTTTAACACGCCCCTCGCTAACACCATTCTGCAGCCCTCAACGCCGTTCGTCCCTCGCAGCCCCCACCTGCGTCGCACCCCTCTCGACTGGAGATAACCGCGTCAACCCCTCGAAAACCGCTCAACCGCTACCAACCCCTCCAGCACCACCCAGCACCGCTTTCCATTCCCACCTCGCAGCCCTTGGCGTTGCTCTCCATGATGAAGCGCAGCACACCGTAGCACGCGCGGCGCACGGCGAGCCCGCCGAGCAGCTTGTAGCGCAGCGACTCCGCCTGCGCGACGGCGCAGAGGCCCTTGTTGGCGACCTTCTCGGCGTAGAGCTCCACCGTGCCCTCCTTGAACTTGAACCGCTTCTGCACCACCGACGTCAGCTCGCGGATGCGCCGCCCCTTCTCGCCTGCCGTGGTGGTAGCGGGGGTCCGGGGGGAGAGGGAAGGGGAAGAGGCGGCAGGGGGAGGGGGTCGCGGGCGGGGTGGGGGAGGGGGGAAGGGAAAAGGTGGGGGAAACGGGGAGGAGATTAGCGCAAAAACGGCGATGTGCGGCGAGGAGAGCAGAGGCCCTTGTTGGCGACCTTCTCGGCGTAGAGCTCCACCGTGCCCTCCTTGAACTTGAACCGCTTCTGGACCACCGACGTCAGCTCGCGAATGCGCCGCCCCTTCTCGCCTGCCGCGGAGCGCGGAGGGGTATGGGCAAGGCGAAACGTGAAATGTCGAAACCGCAAAATATTAGGCGCCATAATCAATCGTATCATCTCACGAGATTCGAGAATCTTTAGGTGAATACCGATTGTCCGTGGCGCGGAGATTCGAGAAACGCGCGGCTTGCCGAGATTTCCGCCGAGAGTTGAACAACAATTTCTTGCCCAGCGCCGAGGCTTACTGAGCACTGCGGCTTACCGAGGACATTCTGCGTGCGCGTGGCGCGGATGATGATCTCGACGCGCATGGGCGTGTTGCGCACCTCCACGCCCGAGTACCCCTCCTCCGCCAGCTCGCGCGTGAGCAGCTCATTCAGCTCCGCGTAGAACACGCCGTCCGCCACAAACTGTTATGAGGTTATACGGGGACACGCAATATCGAGTACAGTTGGTGAATGAGAGGAAGAATGAGAACTCGCGCGTCAACCGCTCCGCGTAAAACACGCTGTCCGCCACAAACTGTTGGTAGGGCATAACGGGACGTGCTATAGAGAGTACAGATGCATTAGGGTTCGCGCGAAAGCAGCTAATAAAGCTGGAATCGACGTCCTTCGGAATCTGTCAGTAAAAGGACAGCGCAACGATGAGCTACGATACGAGACAAGCAAGGAACATAGGGTTGCATGAATTGCGTAGAAAGAAGGAGCGGGGAAAAAGGGTCGTGAATTTGCGAAAAAAAACAGAGATCCGCGACGCCTCAATGAAACAGGGGGAGGGCTGCGACGGCTGGGATCGATCGTGTGACGATGCCAAGATGGTGACCTAACGGGAAAACTCGAAGCGCCACTAACGTGCCGAGCAAATGCTAAAGGCGGAGAGCCGACGCTTATCGGGTACGAGGACAAAAAGGCAACCCAAATGCACTCCTGTCTGACGCTAGTTCTCAAATACGTCAAAAGAGAAACAAAAACTCGTCCAGTATTAATTTCAAATCTTGCGCAATGACTAACGCACAAAGCTCCTCGAATCCAGGACACGAAGTACGCTGAGCGTAGACTAGCGGGTAACGAACCTTCTTCTTCTTGTTCATGGTGGTAGCCATGATGTCTGGAGTACGATTAGACAAGAGGAACAGCGACCAAAGGGAGGAGGAAAAGATCCTAGGCGAGGAGGCGTAGGGTTTATAACGCTGGAGGCAGGAGGACGAGAGAAAGGGGAGCGAGAGAAAGGGAGAGACGACGAAGTGGGGAGGTGCGATAAACGAGACCAGTGTGGGTTGGGAGAGGGAGGGAGGAAGAGGATGACCACAGCAACACGCAACGAAAGCCGACGGAGTAAACCCCCTCGCAGCGTAACCAGATTTCTCGTCATTAACTTAGTCGAATACTTTTGTTAAGTTAACATCACACACGTCAGTAGTCCAATGGTTAGGATATTTGCCTTCCAAGCAAAAGATCCGGGTTCGATTCCCGGCTGACGTAACATCAGATCAACATCCTCTTTGTTGACGTGTTCTCCCATTTGAAAACTGTTCCTGAGTCTTGCTCACCGTCGCCATCTTATCTAAGGGTACGTTCCTGTGGAATGTCCAGGTGCATTGACATTTCGAACCGCGTACAGAGTTGTTGACAATGACGGGTCGATACGCAACTCGTCCGCGACATCAGCGCGTTTCACGCTGACAAATGAAAAATACATTAAAAGTCGCACAAGGGCGATACGCGTTTGTGACATTGTACGTTATAAGCTGGTTTTACGTGTCACGAAAGGATTGAGACACAAGTGTCTCCACAGGAACGTACCCTAAGGGCTACATCAAGTTGCACAACTTCTGTACGCTCACTGCGATCAAGTTCGTTTTGTAATGTTCGCTTTCCACTGGCCCTGTTCGCCACGCCCTTTGTGGGCCGACGAAGGCATGAGGAGGGGATCAAGAATCCCACCCGCACCTTTATGAAGGGTTGGAATCAGGGTTTAAGGACGGTCAGCCCGACAAAATCCCGCCGAGCCTGACGATCCCCTCCGAACCTCGGTGTGCTCGCTGTCCTTGCGAACACCCACCTTTTTCGGTTGGGGCTGGGGATCGAATGCAGTTTCCTGCACTGCCAGCTGGGAATCCCCTCCCCTCCCTCGTGGCTCCTCCGTGCATACCACCCTTTTTGGAGGTGTGCGATGGCATGGATGAGTGATTTTCCTGTAGAATGAAGGAGGAAGGAAGGTGATCAATCCCAGGGCCTCAGATGTCAGGAATTTTACCCTGAATTCCTGAAGTTTGACCCTTGTTTTTTATTGCAACCCTGATGGATCAGCCTTTTTTTTTTAGCGACCCTGATGGATCAGTGTTTTATTTTGTAGAACACTGAATTTTCAGTGTTTTGTGTTTGCAGACACTGACGAGTCAGTGTTGTATCGAGGTTGACCCTGAAACCGAAACTCCGTGTTTCTCGCATATTGGCGCGCCGTCATCATTCATGTACACCCTTTTTCTCGATAGACTGGCATATGTTATACTGACAGAGACGCTTAGTGTAGCCACACCGGACCAAAGAAGGTCCTATCACATGCGTTACAGTGACAATTTGACCCAGGGCGTTTAGTCAAGGTTTTCTACGTTCTACAATGGTACTGTTGTTTTCAAAGCGGTCGGGACGGTTATTCAACGTTAATGCTTTTTAACGGCCCAAGGCGTGTTTCAAACCCTCGTGCGACTTTGCCCGCAACCGACTTATCTCACCAGCCCGCTACGTCCAAACACTGTAGCCAGTGCTTCCGCCGGTGAGAGAGGTGAGAAAGAGGGTGTACCCAACGAGGATCGACGCCACCCTGCGGCTCAATTTTGGGCAGTGTTTGCGCAAAGGCGCTATTTGATTGGCTGTTCCAGGTGTTTCAATGCTTCGTTGACTCTGACTTCTGCCAACACTTGTCATTCTTGGCCTCGCTGCGCACAAATCCAGAGTGGACCAGTGGTGAATGGTGGCATCAGATCAGATTCACCACGCAAGGGCGTGGTTGTGCGGTTCGACCAGCAGACCCATGCCGCAGGGGGTCTCGTTCATTCATGCTTTCCACATCACGACCGGGCCTGCACCCCTTCTTTAATTATTCTATCAGTGTTTTTTGAAAAGGCACCCTGTGTGATCAGTGTTTTTTTTTTACTAACCCTGAAAAATCAGTGTTTCTAAGCAGGCAACACTGAAGATCAGTGTTACACCTCCAAGGGACCCTGAGTGCTCAGGGTACCCTAAAACGAATCTAAGGCCCTGATCAATCCCCTCATTTTCCTTCCTGATCACACGGCAAAAAAATCAATCCCGGGGCGAGCCCCGTGACATAATTGGCAACTTCCGTCGCACCTTCTGAATCCCCTAATCCATCCCCCGCCCCTCGCGTTCGCGTGGTTGTGGCGAACAGGGCCCACTATGTGGGACGTAAACCACGATACAAAAGCTGTAAATGTGTTAGAAACGTGCAACATGGCATCGGCCTACGAATGACGTGATAGCGCCGTGAACCAATCCAGACTCTCCATGTTATTCCATTCATGAATGTATGTTATTTTAATGAACTTTTAGGGGGGTGGTTTGCCTTGGATACGTATCTAAGACTGTGTTACATTTTTATAATTTATGCTTGCATCTGTCCTGCTCTCCTTGTCTCCTCTGCAATCTCACTATAATTACAAAGGGGTGTCAACCTAGATTAGGAGGAAGACAATATACTCGTTTAACAAGTCCCTGAGCTCGTTGTAGCAACAGATTTAGTGGCTTATTGGTGTAAGTTCATGTTAAATGTTCCATAAGTTGTACCCCTACTTACCGTACATGTCTTTTGCCAATATCGCCCATTCCATATGCTCACTAACCCTTATTCTTATGACGTGTTATGTTCGTGGGCTTACAGCAAAAGTAATTGTGTTTGCACATATACATTCTTGTTGCCTTTGACCCCTGTCATTGTTGTCTAGAGGAGGTTAACTTCAGTAGTGTGCTAACTTTCATCGTCGACTTGCCATCGGTCCTGTCGGCAACGCTATAGGTGTGTGTAGGGCGGCAAGATGTGCCGCCGCAAGGTAATCCTGATTTACTTTGCTGCGGATTCTTGCCCGTCGGTTTGCCAAATATTTGGTTTCTGTCCTGAATGTTGTTGCGCATGAATAAGCAAAGCCAAAAATACTTTGTATGCACTGCTTCAAAACGGAATATTGACCATCCAGGAATATCGCGTGTTGGTGCCGAAGAAGGTGAGAGTGTAAGTTTTGTAATTGAGCTCGTTGGAGCCAACAACGAGGAAGTCGACATAGACCTTTTGTAGTCTCGAATAACGGTTTATGCCATGTCAATGTAACGGGGCGAGTTGATGGGTAAGCGTGGTTCCGGGACAAACGATCGAGACGTAGAGTTGGCTGGTGGACGTTAGTTGCGTGCCATCCGGGCGTAGTATGGACCGGGCATGAAGATTTCAGCATCCAGCGATCTTTTTAGCATCGTTGGAAACCATACGGTCGAATGTAGCTCTTGCACTGCTTCATAAGTGTTTAATGGATTCTGATGCCGTGTTCTTGGTGAATTTTGGTGCCTTTGGTGTGGCACGACCCTTCTAGTTCAGGCTCCGATCGAATGAGAATGAGCGAATTCGGTCCTTAAATGTTCTCCGAGACTGGCAGTTTGTTGTTATAACAAACACGAACATAGTCTGGATCATAGGTTGTTGGTGTGAGAAAATACAGACTGGTCGGATTGGAACCATAGGCAATCGCACGGGATTGTTATCGCCAGAGTCGTTGGTGATTCTTTAGGTAGTGGTATTGCTTGCCGTAGAGGGCGACCAAGTGGAGCAATAGCATGTTTAGTTGCCTCTGCAATTCCCCCCCCTTTGTCATTCACGGTTGTCTGCGGAGCCCCGTGTGTTCAAATTTGGGCCTTGATTTGTGTTGCCTCCTCCCGAGCCTCCATAATCTGACCCTCAACCTTAGTCGATGTCTATCCTGTTACCTTCATACCTTCCTCAGCTACCGCCTGTGTTGTCGCCCCAACCCGTGTCACTTGGGGCGATGCGACGGCGACGTTCTTCACTTTCTCAGCGCAATTCTTATGCTTCTTCGCTCGCTTATTCTTCTTCCTTCTGTGGGATGAATATTATGCCTTGGTCGTGCAAGTGGGGGTACAACAAGTGGAGGTCAACTAGTCATAAGGGTGATGTTGGTTTTGTTTGTTGAATGCCGCACAGTTTCGTGTGGCTACGGAAAATGAGTTGCGTGCGTTCGGAATCGGTTTTGTGGTGATCGTGGATGGCGGTACTCATTATTGAGACCACGGCGGTGCGGAGTTTATGTTAGAATCTAGCAGCAAGAATGAATGAACTATGAAAGGGTTGGGTACAAGTATGAAACCCTAAAAGGGGCTGTACCCCATATTGGCTACCCCACTACAGCCCAAATATATATAGCATATATATACTTTGACACACCCCCATAGGCAAAGTGGGGGAGAGCAAGGGGTCACAAGACCAGACAAGAGAAGCAAACCAAGCTCAGGGTGGATCACAACGACACCACACACACTGAGCACAAGCAAAGGGCCACAAGGCCAGTTCACATGCAGAGGTATATATGCAACAACAGCAGTACAGTGATCTCTACCTAGCAGAACAAGCATGCAGGTTTATATATATATGTATAAATATGTATATATAGATCACAGTACAAGCAAAGTCTACAGCAAGTGAGGAAAAGTGGGCACAAGGCCTAACAAAGTGCAGAAACGCTGATGATCACCAGACGGAAGTGCCTTGGTGAATATATCAGCAGTGTTGGCTCGAGTGGCCACGTGAGCAAGACGAAGCTGACCACGCTGCTGCAACTCTCGAGCCAGGAAGTAACGCAGAGCGATGTGCTTCATTCTGTGCTCCAGTCTGTGCTTCTGACACAAGGCAATGGCGGCCTTGTTGTCGACGTACAGCACTGGAGGAGAACGAGGCCGCTCTCCCAGGTCGGTCAGCAGGTAGGTAAGCCAACGTAACTCCTGTGCAGCCATGGCTGTGGCGTAGATCTCAGCCTCACAACTGGAGCTGAGAACTGAAGACGAGCGTGTAGAACGCCAAGAAACTGAACCAGAGCCAAGGCTGAAGGTGTAACCCTGTGATGACCGCTGCGTAGCCTGGTCGTCAACCCAAGAAGCGTCTGAGTGCCCAGTGAGGACAACGTCGCTCCGTCCTCCAAGCACGAGCCTCATGCCCGATGTACTGCACAAGTAGCGTAGTACCCTCTTAGCTGCATCCATGTGCACCTTTCGGTGTCGACCAGGAGCCACGTAGCGAGCCAGAAGGCCAAGAGGGTACGCAAGGTCAGGACGAGTGCAGGTCATCAGGTACAT